GGGAGGAAGGCGAGGGGAGGAGAGAGGAGAGGGAGGAGAGGCGAGAGGAGAGGAGAGGGAGGAGAGGGGAGGAGAGGGAGAAGGGGGGAAGGGGAGGAGAAAGGGAGGAGGGGGAGAGAAGGGGAGGAGAGGGGAGGAGAGGGAGGAGAGGGAGGAGAGGGGAGGAGAGGGAGGAAGAGGAAGAGGGAGGTAGAATGCATACAAAAATTGTTTTAAACAGATTTACCTGGACTTGATGGAACATAACTCCCCTCCACAAGACTGGTGCACGAGCACAGAGGGCCCCTGCACGAATGAGTCCTGGTGGCTAATGCAGCGGGTCAAAGGGGAAACCCTACCCCTCTCCAGAGGCGACCTCACCTTTCACAGCGCCACACTCCCCTCTGCTAGTGGCCTCACCTCCACAGCGACGGGCGCACAAGCAAGGACCGCCCCAGAAGGAAGGACTCCTGGGGGGCGAACAGCAGCGGGTCTGAGGGGCACTCGACCCCTCTGTAGGGACTGGTGCCCAAGGCAAGTGAGTCACCTCTACTGGAACAAGGTGTACGAGGACAGACAGCCCCAGCAGGAAGGAGGCCTGGTGGGCGAAGAGCCGCACGTCCGAGGGGAACTGTGGAGCTCACGAGACCCAAACATCTCATAGGAATGGAGTAAGCAGCAACCGACTCACCTCCACGGTAACAGGGTGATTTTGAGTCGACTCAAAAGCAGGGTGGTTTTGGGTCGACTCAAAAGCAGGGTGGTTTTGGGTCGACTCAAAAGCAGGGTGGTTTTGGGTCGACTAAAAGCAGGGTGGTTTTGGTCGACTCAAAGCAGGGTGGTTTTGGTCGACTCAAAACAGGGTGGTTTTGGGTCGACTCAAAAGCAGGGTGGTTTTGGTCGACTCAAAAGCAGGGTGGTTTTGAGTCGACTCAGAAGCAGGGTGGTTTTGGGTCGACTCAAGAAGCAGGGTGGTTTTGGGTCGACTCAGAAGCAGGGTGTTTTGGGTCGACTCAAAAGCAGGGTTTTGGGTCGACTCAAAAGCAGGGTGGTTTTGAGTCGACTCAAAGGCAGGGTGGTTTTGGGTCGACTCAAAAAGCAGGGTGTTTTGTCGACTCAAAAGCAGGGTGGTTTTGGGTCGACTCAAAAGCAGGGTGGTTTTGGTTGACTCAAAAGCAGGTGGTTTTGGTCGACTCAAAAGCAGGGTGGTTTTGGTCGACTCAAAAGCAGGGTGGTTTTGAGTCGACTCAAAAGCAGGTGGTTTTGAGTCGACTCAAAAGCAGGGTGGTTTTTGAGTCGACTCAAAAACAGAGTGGTTTTGGGTGGACTCAAAAGCAGGGTGGTTTTGCGTCGACCAAAAGCAGGGTGGTTTTGGGTCGACTCAAAGCAGGGTGGTTTGAGTCGACTCAAAGCAGGGTGGTTTGGTCGACTCAAAAGCAGGGTGGTTTTGGTCGACTCAAAAGCAGGGTGGTTTTGAATCGACTCAAAGCAGGGTGCTTTTGGGTCGACTCAAAGCAGGGTGGTTTTGGGTCGACTCAGAAGCAGGGTGGTTTTGAGTCGACTCAAAAGCAGGGCGGTTTGAGTCGACTCAGAAGCAGGGTGGTTTTGAGCCGACTCAAAAGCGGGTGTTTTGAGTCGACTCAGAAGCAGAAAATGGTGCAATCTTCCACTGACTCACCTCCCCGGTGACAGGGTGGGCTAGCATGTAAGGTCCCAGCAGGAAGGAGTCCTGGTGGCTGAAGAGCCGCGGGTCGGTCGGGAACTCTGGCTTCTCACAGACAAGCAGGAAACCCGCTCACCTCCACAGTGACAGGGTGCCGAGCACGGACGGCCCCAGCAGGAAAGAGTCCTGGTGGGTGAAGAGCTGCAGGTCGAGGAGAGCAGTGCTGCTGGAATAAAAAGTTTCATTGCTCACCTCCACAGTAACCGGTGCACGAGGACAGACGGACCGAGCAGGAAGGAGTCCTGGTGGTGAAGAGCCGCGGGTCCGCAGGGAACTCGAACCACAGCGGGCGCATGGGGGCGTGCCGGCAGTGAAGGCGGTGCGGAACTGCGTGTAGAGGTAGGGCAGGAGCGCGTAGCGCGGCACGGCCTCCCGATGTGCGAGGTGTACGGCTCACTGCATGGGGTGGGTTGTGGGGTAAGGGCGTGGGGGGGAGGCGTTCGTGTCGATGCAATGCGATGTGATATAACCATGTCTACCCTACTCGACAAAACTTGGACCTACCCAAAGAGCCAGGGCTCGCGGCGCTTGGTGTCGAGGTGAGCGTGAGCGCGGAAGAAGGGATAGAAGACGCCCATCTGGTACCACCGCAGCAGCAGCTCCGCGTTGGGATTGCCAAAGAAGCCCCCGACATCAGCTCCTGTGGGAGGGGGGAGGAGAGGGCGATTTGAGGGGCGGGGGTTAGGAGGGCGGGGGAGGAGAGGGTTAGGAGGGGCGGGGGAGAGGAGGGGTTAGGAGGGACGCGAGTGTGGTGCGCGGCGCAGAAGAAGGGGAGAAGAGAAAAGAGCAGCAGCAGATGTAAACGGGCCCCAGAAACCGTGGAGGGAAGGGGGGAGACCTGACTCCCATACCGGAAAACTGAACTGCATACCGGGAACCACACTGCACGGCTGAGAACCCCATGCCAGTTAGATCGAGGCTGAGCAGCATGGGATGGATGGAGACACGCAGGTGCTGCCAGTCAGCCGTGTTGTCGCCCGTCCAGATGGGCCCCACACGCTGCCACACTGCGCGCTAGAGTACAGCCCCAGAAGCACCCACCTGAGATGAGAACGGGCGCACCTGAGTTCCCTTGGCTCACCTGAGAACCCCATGCCGCCAGGCCAAGGCTGAGCAGCATGGGATGGACACCCTCAGGTGCTGCCAGTCAGCCGTGTTGTCACCCGTCCCGATGGGGTCCACCTTTGAGCCCCGTGCCATACCTGAGAGCAGCACTGTATACCTGAGAAGCACTGCATACCTGAGAACCCCATGCCAGCAAGACCGAGGCTGAGCAGCATGGGGATGGACACCCTCAGGTGCTGCCAGTCAGCCGTGTTGTCACCCGTCCAGATGGGCCCCACGCGCTGCGACCCGGCGAAGATCGCCTGGAGCACGAACGGACGGTCGAGATTGGCCGGCCCGTTGCGGATCTTGAGCCCCTCGGCGGTGGCGAGGTGGTAGTAGCCGTAGGCATTGTGCACGTCCCGGTGCTCCACGCCGCCAAAATGCAGGTTGTCCTTGGGCATCGTGACCTGGAGGGGAGAGGAGGGAAGGAGGTGAGAGAGGAGTTAGAACGGCGCGGTGTAAGAGGGCTGCCACGAGCCACCTAGTGCACGTCCCTGTGCTCCACGCCGCCGAATTAAAGATTGACCTTGAACATGGTCACCTGGCGCGGGGGTGGGGGGGGGGGGAGAGATGGAGGGTGATGGGCGAAGGCGGGCAAGTAGAGGAGGACGGCGCAGGGTTGGAGCTCCCTGCCAGCCACTTTGTGCACGTCCTTGTGCTCCACGCCGCCGTAATGAGACTGTCCTTGGGCATTGGAAAGAGGGCTGGAGGCATGGAGAGAGGGCATTGGAGAGAGGGCATGGAGAGAGGGCATGCAGAGAGGGCATGGAGAGAGGCTGGGAGGGCATGGGAGAGAGGGCTGGAGGGCATGGGAGAGAGTGCTGGGGGATGGCGAAGAGGGTGGGATGAGGTGAGGGGGGTGTCTAGAGAATGTGGCCCACTACGCCGGATCCGGACTCAGCATGTCAGGTAGCTGCTGCTGCCCGGCCTGCACCACCTGTCCTAGTCCTTGCCCTCCTTGCCGCTGGAGTCTCCCACTTCGGATACAGCACCCCATATTGGTCGCTTTCTGTGGCTGCCTCTTTTACGAGTCCTTTCCTGACGCAGCGAGTCAGTGCAGTCCTGCACGCACCTCAGGCCATTGAACACGGACGGCTCGTTCATATCATTCCAAATGTAGAGGTTCAGAGTGGACCCGCCGCATCTGGAGTAAAAACTTGCCGGCCCACCATGCCCTGATCTCCGGACTGAGCACGTCCAGATAGGAGCTTCTCCCGGCCAGCACCACCCGCCATAGTCCTAGCTGCTAGAATCCCTCACAAAAGAGTGTTGTGCCCATATTAGTTCTTTGGACTCACCTCAGGCCCATTGAACACGGACGGCTCGTTCATATCATTCCAAATGTAGAGATTCGGGTCGACCCGCCATAGCTGGAGTAGGCGAACTTGCCGGCCCACCACGCCCTGATCTCCGGGCTGAGCACGTCCAGGTAGCTGCTGCTCCCGGCCAGCACCACCGTCGTATCCTTGCCGCTCGAGTCCTTCACGTAGTACCCTTTATTGGTCGCTCTTTATGGAGCGAGTACCATCGTGCGCTTCACGTGGGGTCCACTATGGTCACCATCTGCGCCCCTTGGCCGCGAACTTGTTCTGCATGTCGGCTGGATGGGGAAAGTGGTGAGTCCCAAGTCATGTACCTGGAGTGGCAGTGTTGTGTGAAAACACAGGTAGAGATTAACACTTAAACAATACACCCCTAGGCGTCTGGCTTCACGTGGGGACCACTATGGTCACCAACCTCCGCCCTGGCTGCAATCCCATCCTCTCTCCCATGCCCTCTCACCCCTCCCGCCCTTGTTCTGCAATTCAGCTGGATGCGGGGGGAAGTGAGTGGAGTCCCATGTCATGTCATGTACCTGGCATGGGCATCGGTGTACGGAGGGCACAGGGAAATAGTAACAATTTAAGATCGCGCCCCTAGGCATATGGCTTCACGTGGGGGTCGACTATGGTCTCCATCTTGCGCCCCTTGGCTGCCAACTTGTTCTGCATTTCCGCGGGGGTGGGAGAAGTGGTTTCCACGTCACGTAACTGGAGAAGGTCGGGTGGAGGGTGGGGGGAAGGACCAGTTTATGCCATGCACCGGCCTCTGCTATTGAGCCAACTCAAAGCCATGCACCGGCCTCTGCTATTGAGCCAACTCAAAGCCATGCACGGCCTCTGCTATTGAGTCAACTCAAAGCCATGCACCGGCCTCTGCTATTGAGTCAACTCAAAGCCATCGGCTTCTGCTTTTGAGTCAACTCAAAGCCATCGGCTTCTGCTCCCAGTGCTTGTACCTTTATTAGGCGCCTCACAAATCGACTCATGCCACGCACCGCTTCCTGCGACCACTGCTCGCTCGTACATCACATCCGCCACCCCTCAACACCCCTTCCCATCCGTGTGCTCAACATCCTGCCACGGCAGTGACAGCACATCATATGTAACGACATTCCACAGTCTGCTTTCACCCCTGCCCCCCTCACTCACCGCTTCCCATCCGTGTGTTCGATGTCCAGCCACAGCACGTCATACGGGATGTCATGCTCGTCGAACCCCGCGTCCACAGCCAGCGCGTCCGCCTCGTCCTTGTAGTTCCACCGGCACTGCTGTACGCCACCGCGAACAGCTGTGGCATGGCTGTCGTGCCAGTCACCGCCGTGTACTGCCGCACCACGCCGGCCGGTGAGGGGCCCAGGAAGAAGAAGAGGTCGAGAATGCCGCTCTCGCTATCCAGTAGGTGGTCACCTGGAAAGGGGGGGAGGGAGAGGGCGGAAGGCGTGGAAGGGTTTGGAAGCATAGAATGTGAGAGATGAGGATGAGGGGCATCCATCCGCGTGGTCCTCGTAGTTGCAGCGGCACTGCTGGTATGCCACTGCCAACAGCTGCGACATGGCGAGCGTGACTGTGACTTATGTGTACTGCCGAACCATGCCGGCCAGCGATGGGCCCAGGAATAAGAAGAGGTCGAGGACTCCGCTCTCCGATGTCTAGTGAGTACGATGCTCTAGTCTCCGATGTCTAGTGAGTGGTCACCTGGTGGTGTCGCGGAATGCAAGGGACGGGAGACTAGAGCACGTGTGAGGCGCACCGAATCGTTCCAAATTTTAGCAATTTTGGCCAAAGGAGATATTTCAACCGAATTGTCAAGCTTCCCCTCCTGCACATCTCTCTCTACCCTCACCTCCAGCACCTCCAGTACAGTCACGCTCTCCCATCTTAACTCACCTCGGCTCAGGCACAGTCACGTTCTCGGGCGTCAGAAGCACGTTGACCCGCATCTTGACGGAATGGAGTATTGAGACGTCTAAAGAAATCCACACTCTCCTTACTTGCTCACCTCCAGCATAGTGGTGGTGGTGCCCACCTGAGTCGACTCAAACGTCGCCTGAAAGCAGCATTGCGGCGTCGAAGGAACCCCACACTCCCCCGTACTTGCTCACCTCTGGCGTGGTCGCATTCTCGGGCTTGGCCAGCACGTCGATCCACATCTCGGCGGCGTTGAGCCAGAAGACGCCGGTGGTGCGCGCGGCGCTGTGAGCGAGCATCATGGGGATGGACCCGTAGAGCCCGAAGGGCGACTCATGCAGGTACTCGAAGACGTCCAGGTTGTAGAGTCTGTATGGCTCGCTGTGCACGCCAGGGCCTTTAGTGGGGCGCAGGGATAAGCTGTTGTAAGGGGAGCGGAGAGGGGGGGTACGGATGAGGGGAGCGGAGAGGGGGGTACGGATGAGGGGAGCGGAGAGGGGGGTACGGATGAGGGGAGCGGAGAGGGGGGTACGGATGAGGGGAGCGGAGAGGGGGTACGGATGAGGGGAGCGGCACCACAGTTGATTGGAGCTGTGCAGCCCGAAGGGTGGCTCGTGCACGTACCCACGTCCAGGTTGTACAGCCGGCACGGCTCGCTGTGCACGCTTGGGCCCTTGGTGGGGCGCAGAGACAGGCTGGTATTAGGGAGAAGGAGCGGGGGGAAGAAGAGGATGCCTAGCGCCGGGTTCCAGGATGCCATACATACAAGTGCTGCGCGCCGTGGACGGTGACGTTTCGGGCCATTCTGAGGCGCCTTGGAACACCGAACCATCGCGCGAGTCGCTGTTCCTCCCCTCCGAGCGTACCTCGTGGCGCGTTCCGGGATGCCATAGACGCGCTGCGCTTCCAGGAGCCTCAGAAGTGATTCTACGCCGTCCCCTTCTCCTCTCCCCAACCCACCTCGTGGCGCGTTCCGGGATGCCGTAGACGTTCTGCGCGCCGTGGAAGGTGACGTCGAAGCTGATGGCCTCGGGGCCGCGCGGCTTGGAGTCGAAGTGCCCCTTGAACGTCTCCTCCCACGACTCGTCCTCCGCGTCATGCCCGATAATCTCCCCCTCCTCCGCCTCCGCCTCCTCCGCCTCCCCCTCCCCCTCCGCTCCGCCGTCGCTCTTCGCCTCCCCCTCCCCCTCCACCGCCTGCTCGAGGATATTCTCCCCGCCTTCCGCCGCCGCCCCCGCGCCTTCCGCCTTTGCGCCTTCCGCCTGCGCGGCTTCCCCCGCAGCGGCGGGGGGTTCCGTCTTGTTGCGCCGGTGCTCGAACTCGAAGAGCCCCTTGCCGTTGAACGACATGAGCAGATCGTCGCCGCGGTACACGTGTACGGCGAACGGATCTTTCGCCAGAACCGCGCGGCGACCCTCGCCGAATGACAGGTGGACAGGCGCCACGTCACCCTCCACCGCCGACCCCGAAATCACGGAAAGCGGCACGGCCTTAGACTCCAGCCCTGGTTCGAGCACATCGGGAACCTCGAATCGGTTCCTGGACGCGTCCTCGTTAACTTTCATCCGGACCGTTGAATCCGAATACGCCGTGATCTCGAGAAACAACGCCACTTTCCCTTTCCCAGGTGCCTTGTTGCGGATAATTCCGACGAATTTCCCGCTGGGATTAATTTCGCCAGAGCGTAGGACCAGAGTAGAAGTGCCTGGCTCGCGATTGCGATTCCGCTTGCAGAAGTGCGCTTTGTCGCACGTCTTAAACTCGTGCGCCTTGAATCCCGCCGCGAGTTGCGGCTGCGCGCCGAGCAGCAGAAGCGCCGCTAATGCGAGCGCGAAGGTCATGCCGAGGGCTCGATGCGTTCTCCCACACGCAGCGCTCCCCACGCCGCAAGCCGCCATGAAAAGGCGATCTCAGCGAGAAAGGGAAATCGCAAAGATCGTCACTGTGAGCGACAATTACGGCGTCAAGCCCTACTGGGCAGCAGACGAGGCCGGGAGAAGCCTCGCTCCTAACGTGCGTGCTGGCCAATGTGCACTGTGCAGCAACACAAACGAGGTGCGATCTATGGCTCCTGCCCAACAGTCAGCAAGACACGGATCTACCTGTGCTGCTGTGAGGCAGACGGAAAGCCGCGCAGGGAGTGACTGGCTGGCAGTGAGTGCAGCAGCAGGATGCAAGGGGAGGGGATCTCTCGAAGTCTCCACTCGATCATCTCGAGGCTGGGAACAGGAATCCAATAACCGTCTAAGGAAAAATTCTCTACACCGCAAGTTTCAGATGGAAGTAAAGTAAAAACGTTTTTGGGGAGCATGTGTGGGTTCTCACATGGTTGATTGGGTTGAGTTGCCCTTCTAACAACTGAACCTATACTTCACCTCATGTTGGAGGTTCCAGAAAGCCTAAACCACTGTACCCCAAGTTCTAAATGCTAGAAAGAGGAAGTTCAGAGTACCCCAAGTGTTGGAAATATCTCAAGGACTTAAGCGTTTCTGAAGTGTAACACTGTACTCGAGGAAGATTACAGGGGAGCACGCGAGTCAACGGAGGTTACACGAGGGGGCGGACAAAGAATGCGAAAGGACTCGAAAGGTCGCAACTGGAGGTTGCGACTGACCGTTACAACATCACGGATGGTAACCGAAGCGGCAATCGAGTCGCTGTGCGACTCGATAAACCGTTCCTGTAACTGTATTCTACAACTGCTTTCTTATCTTCTATATATTGCTGTATGCTTGTTTCTTTAATCAATCACTTGTTCTCACATACTAGTACAAGGGTTCAACTGCCTCAACTTCCGCTGCACTACTCCAAGTCTCAAGTCTCTACAGCTGGGACTTAGTCTCTGCAAAAGATCCTAAGGGCTTTTCTCAGCCCAACATGGTATGAGAGCTGGTCAGAGACCAAACTCCCAGCAACTACGTCCTATCAACAACCTGCAACTCAACTCAATTCAACGACTTCATTGATTACAAGACATGGACAACAAGGGCAAGAAAGTCTCTACGGGCTCACCCAGCGCCCAAGAAACTCAACACGGCAACTCTGGTCTGCACACCTCAGGACTGCAGACAGAGACCGGGACTGCTCAAGAAACAACGGGAAGAGTACCAGAGATGGTGACCCCGTCTCCCTCTTCAAGTGTGGACCCGAATCTCATGGAGAGATTCTTCAGCTTCATGTCACACTTCGATCAGCAGCAGCAGACAAGGACACCTGCGCACTCAACACAGAGCAATGGAGGGAATATGGGATTAGCGCCGATGAGCCTCGACAACTCATCCTTCGGGCGACACAATCAAGCGCCTACCTTTGCGCCTTATCATTCTTCGCCGGGGACGTTCGAATTCATGCCGCCCCGTGCCCAGCCAACAACAGCTGCTTCACAACAAACACCGAATGAAATCTTAAGTTTACAGGCGCAGTTCTCACACGTGATCAAACTTCAGACATCCTCACCGTTCAACGGACACGACTTCTTTACCTGGAGCTTCGAGTTCGAGCTGCTGATGGAGGCCGCGCATCTTCTGGGATACTTCAACGGGTCCCTGCCATTCCCAAGCAACGGCACTGGGAAGGAACAAGAGATCTTCACGTATCAGTCGCTGCTGGCGTACACGGTACTCCTGAGAAACCTGTCACCACAAGAGCAGCAGAGCATCAGAACGTATCGGAGTTATGGAAACTCCGCGGAGCTCGCATGGCACCACCTCAAATGCCTTTACCAAGCAAACGACAGCGTGACACAAAGCAGACTCATGCAACAGCTGACAACAATACAGATGAAGACCGGGGAAAAGGCGATGCAGTATATGAGTCGCTGCCAGACCCTCCGCGACCGCCTGCTTCGGTGCGGAGGAACGATCACTGAAGAAAGCTTCGTGACACTTGTCCTCGCCGGGCTCGGGCCAGAATGGAGAACCACACGATCACTTCTTCGAGCCCACGGAAGAATTTCGGAGATGCACCTCTGCGCCGAGCTTCACGCTGAACAACAGGAGATGGATCTGTTCGAGGAAAGACAACCAAGGAAGCAACAGCAGTTAGTCTTCTACACTCAAAGAAGAAATGACAACAACTACAACCGACGCAGCAAGCAAGATCAACGTGACAACCGAGGACTCACCATCGTGCCGCCGTTCTGCCACAACTGTCAGACTTCCGGGCACTCCAAGGTCAACTGCAACCGCCCTCGCGTTTACCGTGCAGCAGACCCACAAGTCGCTTCCACTCAAGCAAGTCCTCCAAGGCGCTCTTCAACATCTGCACAACAAACACCCAACATCATCAACTGCATGGTACACATCGACAACTGCGCACCCGCTTCACCACCCACTTACGCACCAGATGAAGAGGAATTCCCGCCGCCGCGCTCGCAAGGACTTCAGGTCAACCCGACATACGCTGCAGTCGCTAACGCCGAACCCACCGGGCGGAACACCTGGTTCTTGGACAGTTGCTGCGGTCAGCACATGTGCTCCTCCGGACGCTTCGTACAACACGAGCGACGCCTCAACCGTGACGTCGTCATCACCGTCGCCAACAACGAAAACCTGAAAACAAATAGACAAGGCGTGGTTCAGTTACAATCAATGGAGACAAACGTTATTCTTCAGCTCAACAAGGTCCTCATCGTCGACAATCTGGGATACAACCTATTAAGCGTAAGCCAACTAATGGCTAAGGGGATTCACCTGGAGTGCGACTCCTTCTCCAACGAGTTCCGACTTTACCACGGGAAGGGCGGTCTCTTCATCGGTCGTGCCCTCCTGAAGTCCGGTGTCTTCGTGTTGGACTTCGTCCCCGACCGCGGAACTGCCGACAGCGACGGTATCGTATCCTTCGCCGCCTGGACTCATCCGCCAGATCTTGATCCCGACTTCGACAGCGACGGCTTCTGGCACTCCAACACCATACCTGCAGCAGAAAGAACACGAGCATTAGCAGTTATCAGACAAGAAAGACAAGTACCCGCATGTGTCCCAACAAAACCATCACCTGCAGTATCGGCAGCAGGACCCAGCCGAGTAACACCACCAGCGACACGAGGACAGCCAACCGAAGCAGACCAACTTATGCCCGCCACACGAGAAGCTTGTCGAAGTCCCGCCTCGGTCGTCGCGTTCTTCTCCAACGCCGACATCTACCACCGCTCGCCCGGTCACCGCGCTCCCGACGACATCTGGCACCAACGTCTCGGACATCCTGCAAACAGCACGATACTACAAACAATACAAGCAGAGGTGTTAGAACGTAACGCCCTTCTAACGACGAGCGGCCAAGAACTTCGCCGACCAAGAGCACGATGCTTCACGTGCCCCGAAGCAGATCTTCCTCATCAACCTTTCCCAGCCCATCACAATCCAAGCGCACCCACTTACGCTCCGATGGAAAAGGTCTACAGCGATATTCTAAACATGCCTCGAGACGACACCGAAGCCGACTTCAACTACGTCATCACGTTCATCGACGCCGCAACCAGATACGTCTGGCACTTCAATCTCAAAACGCGCGATCAAGCCTTCGAGGCCTTCACCACATGGCTTCCAATCGCCGAACGAGAGTCAGGAACCAAACTCAAGAGTTTCCAGTCAGACGGTGCACTGGAATACCAGTCACAACGCTTCAGGACCTATCTCGCGGAAAGGGGAATCCGACGCCTGGTGTCTCTGCCCTATGCTCACCAGCAGCAGGGGGTAGCAGAACGCATGAACCGGACCTTGCAGACGACGATGCGAAAACTGCTTCTGGGGATGAGGCTGCCCAATACACTGTGGCCAGACGCGATGACACATGCAGTCCACCTGCACAACCTGTTGTCCTCGTCATCGCTCCCCAACAACGCATCACCGCACCTGCTGTGGACGGGAAAAAGGGGCAGCACAAAATTACTTCGAGTTTTCGGCTGCATGGTACAATACAGACCCCACACAGCTCGAGCAGGACGCTTCACTCAACGAGCTCGGTGGGGACTACACCTCGGCATCGCCAAACATTTTCACGCGTGGAAGATTCTCGACATACACGACAAAAATACGGTGGCATCACGTGATGTTATCTTCTACGAGCGACTGACGCTGCAGCATTACCTGGACAACATTGCCAACTCAGACGACCCCACCGACGGCTTCGCGGGCCTTCGCTCCTTCGCTGACCATGCTGCCGAGGCTGACGCAGCAGAAGAAGACGTCCCTGGAGCCTCGGAGGCTGCCGGACCACTCCCCTACTGCTCCGTACCTGTTCCACTCGATGAAGATAATCCCCTCGATAGCAACAACCTCGACACCTTTTACCACTTCGCTGACCAAGGCTACGCTACACCACACCCCGTCGACTCGAATATTTCCGAACGCATCGGGCCAAACTTCTTACCCGATCCTGAAGACGGTGATGAAGCAGCTTATCCCGAGAATGAAAACTCCCCTCGACACACAGCCACGGGACTGCAGATCCTAGGACTATGGGTCTCCGTCCAGCACCCGCCGCCGCCTTCTCCGCGCGAGCCGTCGACCCTGTCGCAGGCTCTGGGGGGGGAACATAAGGCACAATGGAAGGAAGCGATGGAAAAAGAGTTAAAAGCTCTGCAAGACCGAGAAACATGGAAACTGGTACCTGCAACGAGCATCAACGGGAAGAACATTCTCTCGGGGAAATGGGTGTACCGCATCAAGACCAACTCAGACGGCTCCATCGAACGATTCAAAGCTCGATGGGTCGTACGAGGCTTCGATCAACGATACGGAACCGACTACACAGAAACCTTCGCTCCAGTCTCCCGTCACACCTCTCTGCGCATCCTACTCGCCATCGCGGCCACGAAGAAACTACCACTACGGCAAATCGACGTTGCAAACGCCTTCTTGTACGCACTTGTGGACGCCGAATTCTTCGTCGAACAACCCCACGGATTCATCGACGACCCTTCAAAAGTATGCCAGCTGGAAAAATCCCTTTACGGGATCAAGCAAGCCCCACGGCTCTGGCAGCAGCACCTTCACGGCCGGCTCGTAAAAATCGGATTCCTACAGCTACCACATGACCAAGGCATGTACCGACTACAGAAGGGAAGAGATTACATTCTGCTCATCGTCTACGTCGACGACCTGCTCTACATCGGTTCTACCACCGACATCGTCACCTGGTTCGAAGGGGAGCTGAAAAGGGACCTGACGCTCACGGTGTCCGACGAAGTTACCCAGTACCTAGGACTGAACATCGTCGAAGACGACACGGCGTTCTACCTACACGCTGGAAAGTACTCAAGCACCGTCGCGAAGAAATTCGGTCTAGCACCGACTGCGGTCCCAACTCCCTACCGCTATGGGAACAACAGTAGCGCCTCCACAAAACTCCCCGCGAAACAAATCCAGGAGTATCAACAGAAGCTCGGCTGCCTACTATTCGCAGCAGTAACCTGCCGACCCGACCTATCCTATAGTGCGAGTCAGCTGGCGACACATCTGAAGCAGCCGCAACAGGAAGATCTCGAAGAACTCAATCGAGCGCTACTCTACTTCGTCTCCACGCCGACGATCGGGCTCACCTACAGCAAGGCAACAACACCGTCCGTACAACTACTCGGATACGTCGACGCCGACCACGCGGGAGACAGCGAAAATCGACGGTCTAGGACGGGCTACATCTACCGACTAGAACCTATCGGAACTATCTCCTGGCAGTCGAGCAAGCAGGAGTTAATCGCACTATCCTCGGCTGAAGCAGAGTATATCGCCCTTTGTACTGCGACCAAGGAAGGACTCTACCTACGAGAGTTACTCGAAGAAGCGAAGATCGCGACCCTGCCCGCCTTCTCACTCCTCTGCGACAACCAATCTGCGATCAAAATCGCGAACAAGGACGGCTTCGCCAACCGAACCAAGCACATCGCCCTGCGGTACTTCTTCGTCAAGGATGAAATCGCGAAGGGGAGACTTCAACTCAGTTACTGCCCGACGACAGAAATGGCCTCAGATTATCTGACGAAGAAATTGGCGAAAGCAAAATTCGACTACTGCATGCTCCTAACCGGGCAAACAAACGTCACCGGATCTGAACACTCCAGCACTCCAGAAACGAAGGGGAGTGTTGGAAATATCTCAAGGACTTAAGCGTTTCTGAAGTGTAACACTGTACTCGAGGAAGATTACAGGGGAGCACGCGAGTCAACGGAGGTTACACGAGGGGGCGGACAAAGAATGCGAAAGGACTCGAAAGGTCGCAACTGGAGGTTGCGACTGACCGTTACAACATCACGGATGGTAACCGAAGCGGCAATCGAGTCGCTGTGCGACTCGATAAACCGTTCCTGTAACTGTATTCTACAACTGCTTTCTTATCTTCTATATATTGCTGTATGCTTGTTTCTTTAATCAATCACTTGTTCTCACATACTAGTACAAGGGTTCAACTGCCTCAACTTCCGCTGCACTACTCCAAGTCTCAAGTCTCTACAGCTGGGACTTAGTCTCTGCAAAAGATCCTAAGGGCTTTTCTCAGCCCAACACCAAGCATGGATGTGGATAAGGAAAATGCACTCTAATGTAACAAAGGGCAAACATTCACGTAGGAGTCTCATCACCCATGGCCTGGAGCACATATGCAGCCACCAGAAGCAACTTTTCAGACATATCTAACCTACGCCATGACTAGGGCAAAGGAGGAACTTTATTATGCTGAACAAGCGGCTGACAAGGATAAGCAGCATAGGCTCAAACAAAGCAATAAAATCCCCATCCTGTGCAAGCCAGCATTTACTCGTCTTGCATTGCAAGCTCCAGAGCATAATCGTCACGCTCAATTGGACCTCGTGCAAAGTACTTGCCAAACTGCTGCCAGTACACTTCATCCTCGTCCTGTGTCTCCACTTCAAGGTCTGAAAGCGGAATCCCCACACACAGCAGGGCGTAACCCTTCTCCTTGAGCTCTTGCGAAATGCCAAGCGCCCTTGGTTGCACCAGCTCACCAGATATCACCCGGACAGCACAGGCAGTGCAGCAGCCATGTCGGCATGCGAAGGGCAACTTGATGCCTTCCTCTTCCGCTGTTTGGAGGATGTATTGATCCTGCAGCACGAAGAAACATATCAAGGAGACCGACGTAAGTGAGGCACTCTATTGGGTAAGTGAGCTGGAAGCTGAATGCAGCAGACTAAGCTAGCTGAGAAAGTTGAAGTGAGTCCCGCTGTGCATAGGAAACCAACGGGCTACAGGAAATAAAGATTCACTAGGCTGGTGGACCGAAGAAATTAAATAATGAAGCAGTTACTAAAGTTATGCACATGATCGTTCCATAAAAGTAACTACTCGTGAGGAGGCTGACGACTGAGAAGCTATGGCCCCGTTCGATTCATGAACTTGCCGTCTCATGTTCAGGTGACTGAAAATGGTGCGAAAAAAGACGATGAATGTTTAACACCATTGCAGTTACCACGAGCAAAGCGGGAACGCAGCAGTTCTTCCGAGGGTTTCCAAGTTCGCTGACCTTGCCGGGCGAACCTCTAACCAACGATCAACGGAGCTAGATCATACTACAGCTCGACGCGACCAAGGATCGCGCTTAGATTCGCTCCATTTCGCCAGTTTGAAGCATCCAGTGCATGCCGCTAACGATACCCTGCCGTTACTCAACTGGCCACATCAGGGCGTTCGCCGCGTCTTCGAATCTTACCTGAGGCACCTCGACCGTGTACGTCGTTCCTCGCACCCTGTCGTGAACCGTCACCGTGTGCACCGGCACCTCCTCGTACTCTCCGTCAACCATTCCCTCGAGCTCTTCCAGCTCCGACGTAAACGTGTCGATCGCCGTCAACTCCGACGCTCGCAGCGGCGTCGACAGCGGTCTTCTGGCTGCGGTCTGTTTCCTCGCGGGAAATGCGCCGCTGTGAGCGACTACGGCGGTGAGCGTGCGAGACGGAGGGGCGGAAACGGAGCCTGCAGGAATCTTGAGGAGAGTCCCCTGCAAAGACGAGGAAAGTAGGCTGGCCATCTCTGGATGACGGGCACAGCTGCAAAACCGAGGACAGGGTAGCTAGGAGACGTGCGAGACGCCCGCACAGAACCAGAAGAGCTTAGACGAGAGTGGCGCGACAGACGCGGAGAAAACGAAGGTAATGCTCTTGAAAGTACGTTGTGGAACCAATCGTACCCGTGAAGCCTCAAGGACAGACTGTAGGCGGGGTTGCTTTTAGAGCACAAGGGACTCCCTGAAAGGAGGAGAAAGGTGATCGTATCAACTGGGAAGAAAGGCGGTGGCAGGGGGTCATACTTGCGAAGCACAGACCAATCACATGATGAGTTCATGGAACAATCCAAGCCCTGCTGTGATGCAACGTAAGGCCCTTTCAGATGCGCTGGACGGGAGGACATCTCCCTGGCGACCAACACAACGACACGTGGAGGACCACGTAAGGAAAGAGTACCTCAGGATACTTCGCATGCCGCGTCGACTGACCCGACATTGAGATTACAGTAACACCTCAAAATCAGATTTGAGGGGATACACCGCTGACAAATTTGACAAAGAATGTTCCTTGAACTCACCTCATGAAAATGGGCACCCAATATACCCACATCTATAATTGAGCTTTCAGCTCATATGTTGCAACTCTCCTGTTTCCCCATCCTTGTACCAGTCCACGAGCGAGTCCCTCCCTCCTGCTTTCCCTACCCTTCTAGCCAACGCAAACATAACTGCACTGAACGCATCATACTGCGCAAGCACTTTCGTGACAAGCATCTGAGCCCCTTCTGGCAGAAAATCAACCGGGTTGAACTGCGGAGCTGACCAAATAAAAAGCGGCCAGAGCTGTTGCAGGCGCTTTTGCTTGACCTCAATGTCTTCCGGTGGAATGGCCTGAAGGCGCTCGTGCAGTTGAGGGATGTCGCGGATGCTCAGTCGGTACGAGAGCAGGCTCCAATCCACCCCATCTCCCTCAAAGGGAAGCAGCACATCCGGCTGTTGGGGTAGAGGAGAATTGCAACACGCGTACGAAAGAAGAATCAGGGCACAATGAGAAGACTGCGGAATTAAAACAGAATATGAGCAACCAGACGGGCCTTCATCGACAACAAGCAAATCACGCTGTGGTGGCAGCATTGGCCCAAACAAATCAGTCGAGACAATCACCTGCCAGAAAAACTGCAAACCACATGAACAGTAACAGAACCGACCTGAACAACAACTTACCTCCACCTGAATGACAAGGACGCAACCCGAATGGAAAAAGGAACCCTGGAATGACAACAGAGACCCATCTGACCAACAACAGAGACTCACCTGAGCAACAACAGAGACCCACCTGAGCAACAACAGAGACCCACCTGAATGACAACTGGCACGCAGCCCGCCATGACAGCCATGGCGAGCGATGCATGCCAGCCATGCCCCGCCGTGGCGAGGCAGAACACGCTCTCCTGCATGCCGCCATACGCCAGCTCGTCGCCACCCTCCGGCACCACCTCCACCTTAAAGCCCGTCTCCCCGTCCCGCCCCGCGTACAGCTCAAACACCCGCTGCCGCACGCCAAAGCTGAACGGCGGCTCCCCATGATGCTGCTCCCTCTGCTGCTGCTCCCTCTGCTGCTGCTCCTGCTGTTCCCCCTGCTGCTCCTGCTGCTCCTGCCCCTCGTGCTGGGTCTCCTCGCCCCACCCTCCACTGTCATCGCTCACATTCAGCCCCCTCACATACAAAAGGTACTGCCGTTCCTTTCCTAGCTGCCCCTGCTCACTGCTCCCCTCCCCCTGCTGCCCCTCGTGATGCCCCTCCTGCTGCTGCTGCTGCTCCCCATCCCTAACATTCTCCCTGACCAATCCCGGCAGCCCGCCTGCCTCCCTCACCATAGTCACATTCGATAAGAACCTCAGGTGGGCCGAGGGTGGGATCACTATATCCTGCCCGGGCCGGAAGCACGGCCCGCCCTCTGCCATCCTGAGCATGTTCCGAGTATACCCCCACGGGGTCAGGGTGATTGCGGACGCTAGCCGGGGGTCCTCTTCCCCGTAGTGCTCCAACCCGCACTTGCCGAACTCCTCGCTTACAAGGAAAATGTGGTCTGCGCCCCCCTTGGCGTCCCAGAAGGGGCCGAGGGAGCGAATAAAGGAAATTGCTTCCGAAATTAGTCGCTGTTTTCCACTGTCACGGTTGCTGGGGGAGGGGAGGAGGGAGGGGGAGGGAGGAAAGAGGGGGTTCGAGGGGAAGAGTGAGTAAAAAGACTGGGTTTTTTTCCCCTGCAGCGTTAGGAGAAGAGTGGGGAGAAAGCTGGGGTCTTCTTCCCCCTACTGGGTGAGCAGGGGCACGCAGTACGTACCGGATCAAGAGCGGTACGTAGAAGAAGTCGGCTTCGCGGGGGTCGATGGTGCGGTGGCAGCTGGCCAGCAGCCGCTCCCAGAACCAGAGGGCCTCGGGGTGGTCGATGTACGGCGAGTGCTGCATCTGCCACGTGTTAAAGTGCGGGGGCAGCTCGTACACGTAGACCTTCAGCCTTGCCGCTGCTGCAGCGGCTGCTCCTGCTGCTCCTGCTGCCGCTGTTGTTACTGCTCCCACTTGATTCTGCTGCTGCTCCTGCTGTGGTGCCTGCTGGGCCGGTGGTTGTTCCAGGGTTTGTTGCTCTTGCCCTGGTTGCTGCGGCTGGTTTTGGAGCGACAGTGGAAGCTGGCTTCCTGCTGCTGCTGCTGCTGCTGATGGGGATGATACTGATAATGATGGGACTGGTGAAGATGCTGCTGTGAACGTGTCGATCTCTGGTAGGTCGGCCCAGGGAAAAGGCGACCCAGGGAGCCTCCTGATTGGTGGATGGAGCAGGCAGAAGAGAGGAGAGAGATGCGCAGGGAAGACCAAAAAGGGGCGAGAAGATTGGGAAAAGGCGAGACCAAGGCCAGGGGACTCAAGGCTATTCTCCCTGCCACTAGTTGGGACGATGATTGGGACGATGATTGGGACGATGATTGGGACGAAGTAGGACTCAAAATTTGACTCAGAAACTCGTTAAGAGCAGCACGTAGAGGGAGCACCTGTAACTTCTCTAACCTCAGCCGCAATTCCTCACTGTAATACAGCGAGCAGTCAGCACCGAAGAACCCCGCCTGGCACCGGCACTGGCATACGCCGCCCTCGCAGTCGGCCCTCTGAGAGCACTCATTGAGACACGCCACTGAGTAGCACAGCGCACACAGAAGGCGTGGCTCCTCTTTACCTCAACCACAATTCCTCGTTGTAGTAGAGGGAGCAGTCAGCGCCAAAGAAGCCCGCCTGGCACTGGCACACGCCCCCCTCGCACCTGAGCACTCGGTGAGAGACACGCCGCTGAACAGCACAGCGCACACGGAAGGCGTGGCCCCTCCTCTTACCTTAACCGCAGCTCCTCGTTGTAGTATAGCGAGCAGTCGGCGCCAAAGAAGCCCGCCTGGCACTGGCACACGCCCCCCTCGCAGTCGCCCCGCTGGGAGCACTCGTTGAGACACGCCACTGAGTAGCTGTCGTCCTCACAGCCGCTGCCGTCGTGGTACCAGGGGCACCTGCGGGAGGGGGAGGGGACGGACATGGGAGTGTCAAGGTGAAGGACACATGAAGCATGGGCTGCCTTGTTGCCACACGCCACTGAGTAGCTGTCGTCCTCACCCCCCCCCTGCCGCCGTGGTACCAGGGGCACCTGGAGTGAGGAGGAAGGGAGGGGCATGGGAGGGAGGGGGGCATGTGGATGATGGAATGAGAGGATACAGACACCTCGTGCCTTCCCAAGCACAGTGTGTCGTTGAGCAGAGGGATGGGGGGCATTGAGTCATGGGCTCTTGGAACTCTGTTGTTGAATCTGAATCACGCCACGGAGTACCTGCCGCCTGCACCTGATTTCTAAGAATTCTCAAAAACCACCTGCAGAGGGATCGGGGGCATTGAACCGTGGGCTCTTGGAAGTGAGTTGTTGAATCTAAATCACGCCACTGAGTACCTGTCGCCCTCACAGCCACTGCCGTCGTGGTACCAGGGACACCTGGGTGAGGGGGGAAGGGGGAAGAGGAGGAAGGGGGGAGATGGGAAGGGCCAACAAGGCACGGGGTGTGGATGGATGGGACGATAGAGGTGTGCCGTTGTTGCCCTGGCAGGGACACCTGGGTGAGGGATGATGGACGTGTGTCGTTGCGGCCCACCGCTGAGTAGCTGCGGCCCACCGCTGAGTAGCTGAGGCCCACCGCTGAGTAGCTGAGGCCCACCGCTGAGTAGCTGAGGCCCACCGCTGAGTAGCTGAGGCCCACCGCTGAGTAGCTGAGGCCCACCGCTGAGTAGCTGTCGCCTATGCGTGCAACCAGAAAGCCTCCCTCCCCCCCCACCCCCCTTTTTCTCACCTGCACTCCCAGTAGGTGGCATCACAGAGGCCGCGGCCGGAGCAGTAGTTGGGGCAGTTGTTGAGAGGCACGAGCCAGGGGAAGGGGTGGGCGGGGAGGGGCACGGACGGGAAGAGCAGCGGCGACGCCGTGATCGCCGCTGCTGGGTGGACCGCAGGCCCATTGCTGCTGCTGCTGCTGTCGCTGTGGGTGTCTGTGGGTGTGCCTATACTGAAGGGTTCTCTGGGCCCCGTTTCAGTGCCGTTGCCGTCGGTCTGCAGGTGCAGGGGCATGCGCGTCACGATGGCTCCGATCGTCCGCTCCTTCCACAACGTGCCTGAGGGAGATGGGAGGCGGACAGAGGGATGGCGGGATGGCAGGATGGAGCGATGGAGAGATTGAGAGAGGAAGTCTGCACGTGCACCGTGCAGGGGTGTGCACGTCACGATGGCTCCGATCGCGCGCTCCTTCCACAACGTGCCTCAGCGGGATGGGAGGCGGACAGAGGGATGGAGGGAGGAGAGATGGAGAGATGGCGAGAGAGAGAGATGGCGGGATGGAGAGATGGAGAGAGAAATTCTGCAGGTGCACGGGCAGTTCTGGCTGGCAGCTTCGCCGGAGAATTAAAGATGTTAGTCCCCATGCGATGGAAATGGCTGTAAATACGGAAGCAGTGTACTTGCTAGTCCCCATCAACAGCATGATTTATCATAGCGTTAGTAGGAAAACCAGTTCTGACCATACCGTGATTGGGGAAGCAGCAGTAGGTGATTGCTCTAGTGATGCGGCAGGAAGAAGCGCTCGCACTCGAGAGCGCAGTCACACGACGACGGCAGGCAGAAGCCTCTTCAGGAAAGCAGAACCACACACTGCTAGTTACTCACCGTTGTTGGGTTGTTTTTTCTTAGAATTGTAACAAATTAAGTCAAATCAGGAAAGCACACACACAGTGTTCGCTACTCACCGTTATTGGGGAAGCAGTACTCGTCATGCGGCAGGAAGAAGCGCTCGCACTCGAGAGCGCAGTCACACGACGACGGCAGGAAGCACGGGATCTCCACCCCCCACGAGTACCGGCACGAGGGTAACCCCAGCTCCGTGCAATCCACCCCCGTGTACCCGGGTAAACAGTCGCATCTACCCGCCTCCTCGTTGCAGGAGCCGTGGCGCGAGCAGGCGGCCGGGCAGCGCGAGGGGAGGAAGGAGAGGCCGTCGGGGGGAGGGGGGATGACGGAGAAAGGCGAGTGGAAGCGTTTGGGCCACTTGGGGAGGGGGGCGAGCAGGAGGAGGAGGGAGAAGAGGATGAGAGAGAGGAGGAGCTTCGGTAGGGAGACGGAGATGGGGGAGAAGGAGAAGGGAAGGGAGTGGGACGGCCGGGAGGGGAAGGAGGGGTGGAAGGAGGAATGGGGGGCGGAAAATGAGGAAGCGGGAAGGGAGGAGGAGAAGGGCCAGAGGGAGCGTGGGAAGGAGGGGGGCAGGGAGGGGAATGAGAAGGATGAGTGGGAAAGGAAAGAGGAGAATGTGGCGGAAGCTCCTGGGAACGGCCGCGACCGGAATGTGGCGGCCGGGCGAGCGGTTGACGACGTGGCGAAGGAGGATCCGATGTTGAGGCTGAGCGGGTTACCACTCGGCTTCATCGCTCATCTACCCGTGCTGCGGGCTATGCGATGGGGAGTGTGAGTAGGCGGATCAGGCGAGGAGTGAAGAGGTTATGTGTGACTACAGCGAGTGTAAATGTGACACACCGCTGATCATCCCACACGGTCGCTACAATTGAATGATGACGGGATGTTGACGGGATGTTGACGGGATGTTGACGGGATGTTGACGGGATGTTGACGGGATCTTGACGAAATGTTGACGGGCTGTTCTCTCCTCGACCGCAGATGCTACAACAGGAAAGGCTGCACTTTGCTGATCAACGCGCCTCAAAAACCGACGAGCGGTGCACGTCGTTCCTAAATCCTACGTAGGCGCTATCCGTCGATCGTGCCGGCCAGTGCGCTGTGCCAAATAAACTATCGCCACGTGGACACTAGTAAAGAAACCTATGTGCGGTCAGATTCTTCAAGCTGCTGCTTGCCTCCGCGGCCTACCCGCGCCGTCTGCTGAACAGTGATAGTACACAATTAGCGATAAACAGTGATGTACTTTAGCCTGTAAGGCTCCCACATTATACGAATATCGGTAGCTTCAGCTTAGGGTGACGCCCTCGCGACAGATATGCAGAGGCTGAATTCTTCGCCTATTTTAGTTCGCGTATCTGCCGCATGATTAGATTTCACAGGAGAGATAAATTGATGGGTGAGGCGACATTTACAATACATTAGCGGGTGACCTGGAGAGCTCCGGAACCTGCGCAGATGTGTCGTGTGACTCTATCGATGGTTTTGCTTGTGGTCGAGGTGACGAGGATGACAAGATCGGTGGGGAGGTGGTGCGTTCAGTTCGATTTTAGTCGCTTCGATTTCCTTTAATGACAAGTGTGCGAACAGTGTGAGCGACGTATGTTTCGGAAATCTACAACCTACAATACAATCTCCAACATCTACAATCTGCGATCCAGAACCAGAAATTCATTCGCTACAATATCTGGACACACTCCCTCTTCCGCTCTTTTCTGCTGCTGACGCGGCAGGTTCCACTTTAGTCTGCCGCAGCGCCGATCCCGTCGTCCTTAGTCTTTAGTGGGTGTTGTTTTCGGACTCGAAGTCAAACGGTTTACTCTCGAATTAGTATAGAATTAAATGCAGGACGTTGATGCTTTCTCGGAATGATGATTTGGTTCACGCGGCGAGTCTCTGTTCCGTATGGTTCCCGAATTAGACTGATCGTAGTCGCTAAGAGTATTTAGTGCAAGATCGAGCTCGCCGCCGAGAAACTCAGCCGTCTATGGCCGTGAATTGATAGGCAAGCCTCAGCTTTATCGGAATTTAAGTAAACCTGAGAATAAAATAATACGCCGTCGAGGGAAGCCTGGCCATGGCTCCTCCTGCAGCGTCGTCAGGACCTGTCGGCACCGTCCGATTTAAGTATGCGACGGAGCAGCAGGTTCAGCAATGGCGCACGTCGCCGGATCTGATCGCCACGGCGGCTGTCGATTCGCCTCTGCGATTCATCTACGAGCTGTGCTGGACGGTGGTGAGAGTTACAGTGATATCAAGTAATAGAATTAACAAACCGCGTGCTTAATCATTCTGGTTGTCGCTAAAGGCAATGGACATTGTTACCGAGTTCGAGCTCATGACACATTTTTTCGTAATAGCTCAAATCGGGTTTACGCAGGGAGCGCATACACTTTTTTTCGTCATTCAAGGATCGGAGCTCGTCCATCCGTTGACGATGTGCTATTCAATCTCGTCTTCACCAGTCAATGTCGATCCAGCTAGCTACGTCGCCCGTTAAGTCGGAGCCACATTCCGTTCCGTTGATTCGGCGCAAAGTAGACCACCTCTTGACGATCCTCGTTTCCGCTCTCTCGCTCCGGCTGTCACTTAGGCACCCTTCCTCCGCCTAACCTACTGACAGAGGGCCGCGTTTTTTCCTTAACCTTTCATCCCATTGACCAGTCGACGGCTGCTCGACTTAGGGCGTGGAACATACAGTTCCGAACAGCCTTCGTCCGAACTTCCACCACACTATACCACGCGGTTATCTAACTTTAGTACGTCACAACCGTTTTGAAAAGCACTCTACCACTCTGGCCATCCGAACTTTCAGAAGTTCGGAACTGTATGTTCCACCCACGCCCTTACTGAGGAGATGGAGACGGTTGCGTTGCGTATGACGTGAGGAGTCTATTTTTGAGGCGCCTCAAAAAGGTTGCGTATGACGTGGCATCCGGGACACTTGGCGAAAATCAGGCTGCCGTTTTGTTCTTCGCGCAGTTGCGCTTTCCACGCCATTGGACTAGGGTTTCAAGCGTTTATCTTGAGTTTCCTCACCCCTCAGGATTAGGGTTTCTCACTCGACCATTTCCTGTGGTAACGGTAGCCACTCATGTATATGCGCACGTACATCAACCATAGTCGCGGAACTCGGGTAAATCATGCGTGAGGAGTCTATTTTTGAGGCGCCTCAAAAATAGACTCCACACGTACATACATCAACCATAGTCGCGGAACTCGGGTAAATCATTGAGACTACCACGCGAGGGACACCACTGAATCGATTGCCAGATCTTCTAACAATATGTCGTTGATTTGACAGCACTTATCCCGCCTGTGCCGCTACCACCTGTTTCTTCTCCCTCTCTTCCTTCCCCTCCAGGTGCACGGAGATTTGCCCCCATCGTGCATCCACGGGAAAGGTGAAAGACCCCCTCCTTACACCCACAACCGCCCTCTCTTCCCCTCCAGGTGCACGGAGATTTGCCCCCATCGCGCATCCCAGCAGCCCTGCAATCCGCAGGCCTGTCCCTCCCGCCCTCCACCTCTCCGGATGCTGCTGCCGCAGCAGATGCCGCTGATGGACCTGCTGCAGACCAACGTGCAGCAGACCAGCAGCAGTCCCCACCTGCCCCAGATGTGCCCTCCCTCCTCGCGGACACAGTGGCCCAGTTGGCGTTTGAGGTAAGATGATCTGCGGCTGCGCCCTTGCTGTTGGGGTCTCTGCTGTTGGGGTCTCTGCTGTTGGGGTCTCTGCTGTTGGGGTCCCTGCCGTTCCCCACACACGCGCTTTTCACGTCCTCTCTCGTCGGGCGAGTGCAGGGCTCATTGCCTCCACGAATTGCTGGCATATTGCAGAACAGAACAAAGCGGCGGCTGTCCTCTACGCTAGCTGTTGTCCTCGTGTTGAGCGGTTGCTGTTGTGTGTCAGTGTGAGCACTGTGTCTGGAACTTGGTTTCTGCTAGCAAGCAAATGCTCATAGTCAGTTGAATTCAAACAGTGACAAACTCGGAAAGCTCCTTCTTTCCAACACATGTTCTGGTCTGGTCTCGATTGCTTCCCTCACTTACAGGTGTCGGGCCAGACTGAACTCCGTCGACGGCTGGTGGAGCTGGTGAGTGCAGAGTGGGATGGGATGAGACGGTGAGATGGACAGTGGGATGGATCAGGGAGATGAAACAGTCAAATGGAACAGGGAGTTGAAACGGTGAGATGAGATGAAACAGTGACATGGAACAGGGTAGATGAAACAGTGAGACGTTACAGTGAGATGAATTCACTTCTGGATTTTAGTGAGCTGAAGCGACAGCAGAAGCAAGGTTGACCATTGACCGACACCAGCTGCTGTGGGTTAGCTGGAACTACAGCAGAAGGCTCTCCTATCCCCTGCCCCCCCCGCCCCACACACTCCGTTTCTCATTTCCCTTTCCCTTCTCCACTGCACCTGCCTTCCTGTTTCCTGCCATTTCACGCCAGACCAAGTGGCTGGCATCCAATGGGGTCGTGACACCTCGCATGTTCCAAGATCGCTGCGAGGCAAGTGGATGCTCGTAGCAGCAGGTCGATCAGCCTGTTCACCGCGGGAACTTCTCTCACAATCATCCTTCATCTTCTTCAAAGTTAACGCGTCCTAATATCTCAAGGACGTGAAGGGAAGGTTTTGAGCGTGTCCCTCTCAGGTATTTAGGAAAGCAATGTCCCTCTCTCCATGCCACCTCACCCCCCACCTTCTCTCTCTCCCCCACCAAGGGGAGCTCCTTTTAGAGGCAGAACTGATCAAGATGGAGCCCTCCGAGCAAAAGAAGAAGCAGCATGAACCAACCACCAAGAATGCGCCCACCTGTCCTCCGCCTGTGCGCCCGTGCTTGTCCGCCTTCCTCTTCCCCTCACACCAGGAGGAACTGCTTTGGGAGGCACAGCTTCCTCCTTAAAGCCTCAAGGGAGGCATAGCTGATGAAGCCAGAAGGAATGCGCCCACCTGTTCTCCGCTCCGCCTGTGCGCCCGTGCTTGCTCTTCTCCCTCTCCCCCCCCCCAACACCAGGAAGAACTGCTGTGGGAGGCGGAGCTGATCAAGATGGAGCCCTCTGAGCTCAAGAAGAAATGCGTAAGACTCAGTCGCTTGCAATGTCCATCAATCAACGTATCCTTCCCGCCTTGCGTGCTCGCCCACTCCTTACTCCGCCTCATCTCCATCTGTGTGCCTTGCCTGCTCACTCTTTTCGAGCCTCCCTCCCTTACCATCTGTTCCCGCTGATCGAGCTCTACTCGGTAGATGAGTGTTTGGACCGAGCTGCTTTAAAGTGGGATGAATCGTGCATGCCTGTCATGAGCGGGCAGACGTTCCTTCAACTCCCACCAACGCAGCCCCCGTCCCTCCCTCTACTCGCGTCCCTCCCTCTACTCGCGTCCCTCCCTCTACTCGCGTCCCTCCCTCTACTCGCGTCCCTCCCTCTACTCGCGTCCCTCCCTCTACTCGCGTCCCTCCCTCTACTCGCGTCCCTCCCTCTACTCGCGTCCCTCCCTCTACTCGCGTCCCTCCCTCTACTCGCGTCCCCCCCCCCCCCCCCTCTACTCGCGTCCCTCCCTCTACTCGCGTCCCTCCCTCTACTCGCGTCCCTCCCTCTACTCGCGTCCCTCCCTCTACTCGCGTCCCTCCCTCTACTCGCGTCCCTCCCTCTACTCGCGTCCCTCCCTCTACTCGCGTCCCTCCCTCTACTCGCGTCCCTCCCTCTACTCGCGTCCCTCCCTCTACTCGCGTCCCTCCCTCTACTCGCGTCCCTCCCTCTACTCGCGTCCCTCCCTCTACTCGCGTCCCTCCCTCTACTCGCGTCCCTCCCTCTACTCGCGTCCCTCCCTCTACTCGCGTCCCTCCCTCTACTCGCGTCCCTCCCTCTACTCGCGTCCCTCCCTCTACTCGCGTCCCTCCCTCTACTCGCGTCCCTCCCTCTACTCGCGTCCCTCCCTCTACTCGCGTCCCTCCCTCTACTCGCGTCCCTCCCTCTACTCGCGTCCCTCCCTCTACTCGCGTCCCTCCCTCTACTCGCGTCCCTCCCTCTACTCGCGTCCCTCCCTCTACTCGCGTCCCTCCCTCTACTCGCGTCCCTCCCTCTACTCGCGTCCCTCCCTCTACTCGCGTCCCTCCCTCTACTCGCGTCCCTCCCTCTACTCGCGTCCCTCCCTCTACTCGCGTCCCTCCCTCTACTCGCGTCCCTCCCTCTACTCGCGTCCCTCCCTCTACTCGCGTCCCTCCCTCTACTCGCGTCCCTCCCTCTACTCGCGTCCCTCCCTCTACTCGCGTCCCTCCCTCTACTCGCGTCCCTCCCTCTACTCGCGTCCCTCCCTCTACTCGCGTCCCTCCCTCTACTCGCGTCCCTCCCTCTACTCGCGTCCCTCCCTCTACTCGCGTCCCTCCCTCTACTCGCGTCCCTCCCTCTACTCGCGTCCCTCCCTCTACTCGCGTCCCTCCCTCTACTCGCGTCCCTCCCTCTACTCGCGTCCCTCCCTCTACTCGCGTCCCTCCCTCTACTCGCGTCCCTCCCTCTACTCGCGTCCCTCCCTCTACTCGCGTCCCTCCCTCTACTCGCGTCCCTCCCTCTACTCGCGTCCCTCCCTCTACTCGCGTCCCTCCCTCTACTCGCGTCCCTCCCTCTCCCTCGTGCTCCCCCGGCCACTCTCCCTCGTGCTCCCCCGGCCACTCTCCCTCGTGTTCCCCCGGCCACTCTCCCTCGTGCTCCCCCGGCCACTCTCCCTCGTGTTCCCCCGGCCACTCTCCCTCGTGCTCCCCCGGCCACTCTCCCTCGTGTTCCCCCGGCCACTCTCCCTCGTGCTCCCCCGGCCACTCTCCCTCGTGTTCCCCCGGCCACTCTCCCTCGTGCTCCCCCGGCCACTCTCCCTCGTGCTCCCCCGGCCACTCTCCCTCGTGCTTCCCCTCTGCATTGCCCTCTCCCTCTCCTCCCAGCCCGCTTCCCCCCTTCCTTCCCTCTCCCCCCACTCTCAGGTGTGCTTGAACACGCGCCTGGTGTACACACAGACCAAGTTCAACCAGTCAAGGCCCTTAGTACCCCCCCCCTACCCCGCCCTTCCCCCCCCCCCCGCTCCGCCACTCTCACAGGTGCGGGTGAACACGCGTCTGGTGTACACGCAGACCAAGTTTAACCTGCTCAGGGAGGATTCTGAGGGATACGCAAAACTGGTGAGAATTCTATTTTTGAAGCGCCTAAAAAGAAGACCAAGTTCAACCAGCTCAGGGAGGTATGGGTCTGGGTGGGTGGGAGGGATATGCTAAACTGGTGAGAAGTCTCTTTTTGAGTCGCCTAAATAACAGACCAAGTTCATTTCAACCTGCTCAGGGAAGACTGGGATGGGAGGGATATGCGAAACTGGTGAGCACGAGCTGGGTAGATCGAGAGGGGGAAATGCTGGCTGTGGCAGTGGTCACAGAACAGCACGGCAAGAAAGCAAGGAGGCCAAGTCTTACTCCTGTTTGGCCTTCATTCCTTCATGGCTCCTTCAACTCTCCCTCCCCCCACCCCCCTCCTTCCCCCGCCTCACCTCACTCCTCCTCCTCCTCCCTCCCCCACCACGGTTCTTGGCTCTTCCACCTACAGCCCTGTCTCCTCGTCTCTATGAAAGTGCACTGCAGCACTGCCATTCGCGTTGCTTTTGAGTCGACTCAAAAGGCCTCCTCCCTCCCCCACCAACCACCGTTCCTGGCTCTTCCACCCACCCACCTTCAGCACTGCCACCTTCAGCACTGTCTCCTTCAGCACTGTCTCCTCGCCAGTCGCTTCAAAACCTTCTGCTGCACTGTCTCCTCCTCGTCATTATGAAAGTGCACTTCCATGTCACTTGCGTTGTTATGCTTGTTTTGGAAAACATATGGTCATCCATGTCAACAAACTAACACATGCCGTTTCCGTTTTTTTGTTGGCAGATCACCATTTTGAGTCAGAAGGGCCCACTGGGACTCAACTCACGATCGGCAAATGCTGTGGTGGACGCGGTCAAGGTGATTTGCTCTTTTGTTACGGGTCGTATTTCTAAGGTGTCTTTAGCACTTTGTTGTTCGGTGCAGAAAGTTGCAGATGCGGTGGGCAAACTACACTGCAGTGTATGTACCATGTGTGTGTGTCTAACAGGCGAGCCCTGTCCCCCCCACCAGCCTTGTAGTCACCCCCTGTTGCAGTCACTCATCTCATCAGCCTCTTTGACCTCCATCCTAACCAAGTCTTTGACATTGTCACCTCCCCCACTTCCCCCCTGCACTGCCCCCCTCCCTTCCCCCCCCCCACTCCCCCCCTTCTCCCCTCCCCTTCTCCCCGTTTCCCCACACACACTATCCCCCCTTCCCCCGCAGTCGCTCATTGGCCTCTTTGACCTCGACCCTAACCGAGTCTTTGACATTGTGAGCATCGCACCACACCACGTGCACCGGCTGCTCCTCGTTTAGGGTCCTTTCTTTTGGGATGCGCACAGCATCCTTGTAGAGGCCATGCAGCATCCTTGTAGAGGCCGTGCAGCATCCTTGTAGAGGCCGTGCAGCATCCTTGTAGAGGCCGTGCAGCATCCTTGTAGAGGCGTTCAGCATCCTTGTAGAGGCCGTGCAGCATCCTTGTAGAATCCGTGCAGCATCCTTGTAGTTGTAGAGGCCGTGCAGCATCCTTGTACAATGCACAATCCCGGCTTATCGTTTCTCCTGTCGTTCATATAACCGATTACTTTCTGGCACCTACCTGACTCTGCTGAACGCTGCCTCGGGCCGTGTTGCCTCTGTGCATGCTGCATGTATGCTTGACGCCTGCACCAGGTGCTGGACTGCTACGAGATGCAGCCCACCAACACTGCCTTCCTTCACCTCGTCAAGCTCTTCCCCGAGGTATGTGCCCATGCCATGCCATGCCCTGCTCTGCCATGCTATGCTGTGCCACGCCATGCCATGCCATGCCATACCATGCTGTGCCATGCCATGCCATGCTATGCCCAGCTGTGCCATGCCATGCTATGCCCTGCTGTGCCAAGCCATGTTGTGCCATGCCATCCATACCGTACCATGCCATGTGCATGAATCATGATTACACCCACCCTGCGCTGGATTCTTTCTCCCGCAATGTTTTTCTGTCAGCTTGTCAAGTCAAGCCCCCCAAAACTCTCTTCATCCGTCAGAAATTCTCCTCTTCTCCCCGACACCTGTTCCCCTGCCAGAAAACACCTACTACCACCGGCTCACTGCCCCTGCAGCTGCACCTCCCATCCTAATTCCCACCTCCCCCCCACCCCCCCCTCCCCCTCCTTCTCCCCTTGTCAACCTCCCTCTGCTCTCTCAGGCTCATGCGCCCCAGATTCTCGGATTCAAGTTCAGCTATTATCACCGGCTCATGGCCGCTGCAGCAGCAGGAACCAAGGGAGGGGTGGCAGGGGGGAAGGAGGGCGGAGGGAACAGCAAGGGGGGTGCCAATGGGGAGAAGGGCAGTGTGGGGAAGGGGGGGGCAGGGGGAGCAGGGACGGGGAGGGGCCCTGCTGGAGAAGGTGCGGATGGTGATGGGGGGGAGAAAGGGGGGGGTGGGAGTGGGTCGGAAGGGCGGATCCCTGACAGCCTGTTTGTGCTGGCGGCTAACTGCATCAAGACCCATGTGGTGGAGCTCGCTGCACTGTGAGTCGCTTGCAGCATGCCATGTATTGTGTTGTGTAGTGGCATGTGTTGTGGTATGTGTAGTGGCATGTGTTGTGGTATGTGTAGTGGCATGTGTTGTGGTATGTGTAGTGGCATGTGTTGTGGTATGCGTAGTGGCATGTGTTCTGGTATGTGTAGCGGCATGTGTTGTGGTATGTGTAGTGGCATGTGTTGTGCCATGTACCTACCTGTTTGTGCTGGCGGCCAACTGCATCAAGACCCACGTGGGCATGTGAGAGACGAGCCGATGCATGCGAGCGCGGTCCAAATGACAGCAGGTTAAGCCTTGGCAGGTGCAAGTATGGGGGATTCGTCTCCTGGATTGAAGGCCTGTGAAGGTTCTAGAGCGCAAGGCAGGCGTGCGTGAGAGTGGGAAGCGGAGGGGAGGAGTCTCCTGTACATGCATCGCCTCGTCTCTTGCACACCAAGCCGTACTCACCCACACCAAGCCGTACTCACCCATACCACACCACACCTTTCGCACGCCCATCACCTCTGCGCCCTTTGCCACGCCATTTCAATCCCATCTTGAGAATTCTAAAGGATCCGATCCTCACCATCCATTCTTGTTCGGCATTCATTCTTCCCTTGCGTTGCCGTGCGACATGCTCATCAGGTACCCGTTCTTGGACCCTCCGGACGAGGAGGCAGAGGAGCGAAGCAAGGAGCTCAACGCACAGAGAATAGCGGATGTGAGTTCCACTTCACAGTGTTGTTTGTGACGAGCTTATTTCAAAACAGCAGGTCGCTTCTAACTCAAATGGGCTGCGTGTGCCTCGTGTTCTCCCCATTTCCTGTTCTCTCAGTCTTGCATTCTCCGTGTGTAATGAGTCGATTTTTGAGTCGACTAAAAAATCGACTCATTACACGCATTTCCTGTTCTCTCAGTCTTACATTCTCCTTTGTTCCCCCCGCATGGCGGCATGGGCAAGACCAGCCTGGCAGCAATGGGGCAAGGCAAGGCCTGAGTCACCTGACCCATGACCTGCCGCCCCCAGCTAAGCTCTTGACTCTTGATCAATCTGTATGGGGCGGTGGACGTGGAGGAGAGAGTGCTGCAGGCAAGGGGCGCTCTCCTTTTCCTCGCCTCATTCTTCCTCATTCTTCCTCATTCTTCTTTATGCTCCCCCATCCTCCCCTTCCTTGGTCCAGGTGAACCGCATAGGCAAGATCAACCTGGCAGCAACGGGCCGTGATCTAACAGATGATCCGCAGCCTGCCGACGTGTCGATTGACCTGTACGGGGCGGTGGACGCAGAGGAGAGCGCTGCAGCCAAGGGGTGGGGGGAGGCAGAGAGCAACGATAAGATGCGGCTGCTGAAGGCGCTGCTGCTGGTGGACGACTGGTGAGTTGCTTAACCAGAGTGAACAGCCACTCTCAATGTTCCAGCCAGCCCAGCTGTGCTTCTTTGCACTCTGCTTGGCCCCCTTATCATTCAATACGCCTTCTGTTATCCCCTCTGCCTCCCCACACCAGAGCCGTTCCTCATTACGAATCTCGTTTTCTCGTTTTGTTCTATTAACGTTTTCTCCTCCATTTTCCTTCCCCACTCGCCATCCTCCACCCTTCCAGGCCCCACGCGCAGCAGCTGTTGGAGCACCTGAAGGGGTTTGAGAGCCTTAAAGCCCTTGTCTCTTCCTCCCCCTCCCCTCCCCTCCATCCTCCACCCCACCTGGCCCCACGGACAGCAGCTGCTGGAGCGAGCACCTGAAGGGGTTTGAGAGTGTTATAAACCGTGGTATCTTCCTCCCCGTCCCACTTCTCCCCCCACTAACCCCTCCAGGCCCCACGCGCGGCAGCTGCTGGAGCACCTGAAGCCGCTGCACCCCGTGGCCCACCCTCCCATCTGCGCTGCTCTCTGCTCGTATGTCATCATCTGCTCTGCCCCATGCCGTGTGCTTAGCCATCATCCACGTGCATGCCATCATCCACGTGCATGCCATCATCCACGTGCATGCCATCATCCACGTGCATGCCATCGTCCACGTGCATGCCATCATCCACGTGCATGCCATCATCCACGTGCATGCCATCGTCCACGTGCATGCCATCATCCACGTGCATGCCATCATCCACGTGCATGCCATCGTCCACGTGCATGCCATCAGCACTGTATGCATTGCAATTGCTTGCAATTGTATGTCAACTGGTCTCGTGTCAACTGAATTGTTTTCAACGGCGCGTGTGTAGCATGCTCATGTGCCATCTCTTTAATCTGAAGCATTCATCTGTTCTCTTCCTTGCATACACAGCAGCAGCATCCTCTTTTCCCGCCCCCCTCCCTCCAGCCTCATATCCCGTGCCATTGCCCCGGCCTACAACACAGTGCACCCATCCTATCTCCTCAAGGGAAAAGCCCCAGCGGCTGATACAACAGCCTTGCCGAACCTGCCTACCTCCCCAGCCTCGGATGCCGATGTGGAGATGGCTGAGGCTGGTTTTGCGGATGGTGCTGCACGAGGCAGGAGGAAAGGGGAGAGAGTGAGGGAGGAAGAGAGGGACGGAGAGGTGGAAGGGGAGAAGGATAGAGGAGGAGTGGGAAGGGGGGAGGTGGAGAGCAGGGGAGGGGGGCTGCGGCTGCCTGGGAGGGTGTTTGAAATGCTTCGGTATCTGGGGGCCTTCCTCTATCAGGACACCATTCTGCTGCAGAAGGTGAGACTAGGCTTGAGCAACGGGTCGGGTCGGGTCGGGTAACCCGACCCGAACCCGACTTTTTGACGGGTCGGGTCGACATTTGCGGAGGGTCGACCCGACCCTCGGGTACCCGACCCGACCCGACCCGACCCGACCAACAAAACCCGACCCGACCCGTCGGGTCGGCTTATTACCCGTCCCTGCCCCTATGCCAACCCGACCCGACCCGACCCGAAATCGGGTCAGGTAGTACCCGACCTATTAAACCCGGGTCGGGTTGGCATTTCCTGAACTTCGACCCGACTTGACCCGACCCGACCCGACCCGAACCCGACATCGGGTAGGGCAAAGTCGGGTCGGGTCGGGTCGGGTCGGGTTCATGCTCAAGCCTAGGTGAGACCTTGTGTTCGGCGTCTCAATCTTTGAGATGCTGCAGTTTCTGGGGGCTTTCCTTTAACAGGACAGCACTCTGCTGCAATAGGCGAGGCCTTTTGTTAGGCGTCTCAAATTTTGAGATGCTTCGGTACCTGGGGGCCTTCCTGTACTACTAGGACACCATTCTGCTGCTGAACTGGTGGGGGGTGCTTCTAAGGCGCCTTGAAAGCATACTGCGGCATCTGGGAGAGCCTTTCCGTTACCTGGGCACCGTTCCGTTGCATAAGGTGAGGTGAAGTGGTGGGTGGTATGAGGGGTATTGAGTGTGCCGTGTTTTGAGGCTGTGTGGCTGTTTCATGCCATGCCATGTGCTGCCATGTGCTGCCATGTGCTGCCATGTGCCAGTGGCAGCATTATGCCGTACGCAGCCGCATCACTCGTCACCACTCACCGCATCACACCCCCCTGTCTCCCAATGCTCTACCTCAGCTGTGCAAGGTCCTCAAGGCGGATCTGCTCCAAGCCCGCTCTGCTGCTGCAGTTGCTGTCACTAGTGCCGCCTCTGCCGGATCGTCCGCTCCTGCTGTCTCTGTTGCTGCGGTCGCGGCGAATGCTTCGGCTCCTGCTGCTCTGTGCAACGGCCCCTCTCTGTCCGCGCCGACAGCAGCAGCAGCAACAACAGCCAATGGCCCTATTCCCTCGGAGTCGAATGACGCCTCCATTGCAGTTCCTGACGCGTCTGCATCAACTGCAGCAGCAACAGCAGCAGCGGTGGCTACAGCAGCAGCAGCAGCAGCGAAGGAGGTGGAGGGGAGGGTGATTGAAGCGCTAGAGGTGGCGCTGCTGCCGGCGCTGCAGGCGGTGGTGGCGAACCCGCCGGTGTGCATGCAGCTGTGGGAGCTGCTCTCCTGCATCCCCTTCCACGAGCGCTACCGCCTGTACGGCGAGTGGGAGAGGGACAACGAGAGCAACCCGCTGGTGCTCGCTGCCAGGCAGATCGCCAGGGTGAGTGGGGGGACTGGGTTTGGGGGTTGAGGGAGTGAGTGAGGGGGCAGGGGCGTGGGGAAAGGATCTGTTGCTGTGAGAGTGAAGTGGAACGAGGGTGGGGAATGTAGAAGAGAAAGGGGAGGGGGGGGGAATGCATGCAGCTGAGTAAGAGTAGCGGAGAGGGGCAGGCAGGGTATGGCGAGATGAGGAATGGAGGAGGATGGGATGTGGTAGATTCAGAATGGCTGGAGGCCACGTCAGGTGGCTCACATGCTCAAGAAACTGGCGAAACTGAATCACGAGCTCACGAAGTTGGCTTTGCACGCTCCTGTCTCCTTGGGGTCCGGTCCACGCCCCCCGTTTCAAGTAGTTTCGTTTTGAGTCAACTCAAACGCCCCCCGTTTCCCCCCTCAGCTGGACATGCAGCGCGGCGCATGCTGAAAAGGCGGGCAAAGGAGTACCTGAAGCCCACAGGGCGCCTCCTGGCTGGCTGCTGGCATGCCGCAACTTCCTCCCTTCCTCCCTCCTTCCTCTGTCTGTTGCTCTCCCCCCCCCCCCCTCCCAGCTGGACACGCGGCGCACGCTGAAGCGGCTGGCGAAGGAGAACCTGAAGCCCACGGGGCGCCTGCTGGCGAAGCTGGCGCACTCCAACCCCATCACTGTGCTGCGGACCATCGTGGTGCAGGTGGGTGCTGCTGTGGTGCAGGTGGGTGCTGCTGCGGTACAGGTGGGTGCTGTTGTGGTGCAGGTGGGTGCTGCTGCGGTACAGATGGGTGCTGCTGTTGGTCCTCAACGCCATAGCTCAATGCTGCATGCAACCCCCCGCTTCCCCCCCCTGCCCTGCCCTCCTCCCATGACATTTCCTCGTCGTCTTTGCCACTTAATCCTCTCATCTCTTTCCCACCGCTCCCGTCTCACTATGACATCTTCCCGCTTGCACCGCTGATTAGATTGCCCTCAATCTTCTAGGTAGAGGAGGCGTACCAGGCGTAAGTAATTTACTTTTGAGAGGTCCCAAACCTAAATTACTTGCACACAGGAGATGATTCCCCCTGTCGTCTCCTCATCGTCTTCCCTGTTCCCCTCTCCCCCCACCGACAAATCCCAGGTGGAGGCGTACAAGGAGATGATTCCGCCTGTCGTCGATGCCTTCAAGTACTTCAACCAGGTCAGTCCGCCCTCGTTTTCCTGGCTTTTTCATGGGGAACCGTAACCCACCCTCCCACCTCAAACCACCCTCTCACTTCAACCTTCCGCTCGCCTCAACCCACGCTCACGATTCGGTTTTTCAAACTTGTCGATGGGTAGCAACGATGCGTACCCCTTCCCTCGCCACACCCCCACCCCACCCCCCGCTGGAGATCGTGGTGATGCAACCTGGCCCTCCTACTGGGTTATGCTCACAGTTCACCTGATCCTGCTTCTTCCCTCATCATCCCCCCCACTCCCCCCCAAGCTCGAGTTTGACGTGCTGGAGTATGTGGTCGTGGAGCTCCTGGCCCTCCTACCTGGTCTGGTCTTATCTCAGTGCTACGTCATGCCATCTCCTCCCGTATCCTATGCAGCTCGAGCTCAACATGCTCGAGTACATGGTCATAGAGCGCCTGGCGGCCCTACTTGGACATGCTGACAGCTGACCTCCATGCGACATCCCTCCCCTTTCGCCCCCCCAGCTCTCGCTCGACATGCTTGAGTACGTGGTGATAGAGCGCCTGGCTCTCCTACTCGGTCATGCGGACAGTTACCCTGACCTTATTATCTCTTCCTTCATGCAATCTGCCCCCCCCGCCCCTCCCCAGCTCGAGTTCGACATGCTTGAGTACGTGGTCATCGAGCGCCTGGCTCTCCCGCGGTCTACCATCAAGGACGACGGGCTCAACATCGCCGACTGGCTGCAGTGCCTTGCCACCTTCTGGGGCTCCGTGTGAGTGGCAGTGCGTCGTGTGAGTGGCAGTGCGTCGTGTGAGTGGCAGTGCGCGGTGTGAGTGGCAGTGCGCCGTGTGAGTGGCAGTGGGCCGTGTGAGTGGCAGTGCTCCATGTGAGTGGCAGTCTCCGTGTGAGTGGCAGTGCTCCGTGTGAGTGGCATAGCTTGTAAGTCAGAGTTGCCTGGTGTGCCGCGCGCCACCATCAAGGGCGGTGGGCTCAACATCGCTGCCACTTTCTGGGGCTCCGAGTGAGTGGCAGTGCCTCTCTCCCGCTTGGTGTCTTGCTGCCTTGGGCTCTCTGTATGTGTAGTGCGCTTCTGTCGTGAATTTTCCCCCCTTGCCATCACCCTGCTTTACCCTCCCCCCCCCCCCCCCCCCCCCCCCCCCCCCCCCCCCCCCCCCCCCCCCCCCCCCCCCCCCCCCCCCCCCCCCCCCCCCCCCCCCTCCCATCCTTCTCGTCCCTGTCAGCTGCAAGAAGTATCCCCTCCTTGAGCTGCGCGGCCTGCTGAGCTACGTGGTGAACCGGCTGCACGGAGGCGAGGCGGTGGAGCTTCAAGCTAACCCCCCTTTGACATAACCCTATTTCCTTCTCCTCTGCCCTGTCAGCTGCAAGAAGTACCCCCTCCTTGAGCTGCGTGGCCTGCTAAGCTACGTGGTGAACCGGCTGCACGGAGGCGAGGCAGTGGAGCTGGTGCTGCTGCAGGAGCTGATGGAGCAGATGGCCGGCATCGAGACGTCGGAGAACCTCACCGAGGAGCAATTAGAGGCGCTGGCGGGGGGAGACACGCTGAGGCAGCTCACTGCCTCCTTCGGACAGGCAAAGAACAACAAGGTGAGTGCGGTGCCAGGGGGGTTGAGGCTGGGAGCTGATGGAGCAGATGGCGGGGATCGAGACGTCGGAGAACCTCGCCAAGGAGCAGCTAGAAGCACTGGCGGGGGGAGACACGCTCAGGCAGCTCACTGCCAGCTTTGGGCAGGCGAAGAACAACAAGGTGTTAGCACATGAGGTGTGGAACAGGGATTACAGAGTGGGAGGTGAGGTGGAGGTTGATGGAGCAGGTGGGGGGGATGGAGATGTCAGAAAACCTCACTGAGGAGCAATTAGAAGCCCTGGGGGGGGGGGGGGACGCATTGAGGCAGCTGACGGCTAGCTTTGGGCAGGTTGAAGAACAACAAGGTGAGGTGCCAGGAGTTCTGAGGCAGGGGCTGATTATTGAGAATTCTAAAAAATCACGAGGACCAACAAGGTGAGGCGAGGACCAACAACGTGAGGCGAGCACCAACAACGTGAGGCGACAACAACTAGGGGGTCTAAGGCAAGGGCTTCATGATGGAGCAGATGAGCAGCATCGAGATGTGGGCGATCCTCACAGGGGAGAGACTTGGTGTGTGGGGGGTGGGAGGTGGGTTGGGGGGGGCTGATGGCGCAGAGCAGATGGGAGGCACCGAGATGTGGAGGATCTCCTCACTGAGGACCAGCTGGTCCCGCTGGCGGGGGAGGAGACGCTAAGGAGGCTAGCTTCGGACACGCCAACAACATCAAGGTGAGATCATATGGGGCGTGAGGGAGGGAGGGAGGGAGGGAGCTGATGTCTCAGATGGGCGGCATCGAGATATGGGGTGGGGGCTCGGCTCACGGAGCTGCTCCAACTGCTCCTTCTAAACCCCCCCCCTCCGCGGGCCCTTCCGCCCTTCCGCCCTTCCCCCGTCGCAGGCTCTGGCGAGGTCCATGGGGAGGCCGAAAGACGCGCTGCTGCCCGCCAAGGGCGAGGCGGGGCCTCCTTGCACTCCTCCCTCGCACTCTTAACCTCCCCCCCTCTCCCCCCGCCTCTGTCCCACGGTGTGTCAGGCTCTGGCGAGGTCCATGGGGAGGCTGAAAGACGCGCTGCTGCCCGTCAAGGGCGAGGCGAATCTCGCAGTGCCCCTGCTGGTGCTCATTGCCAGGCAGCGATCCAAGTGAGTGTGATGATGGATCGATCGGGATCGCACACAGAGCAAACGACGTGCCAGCACATGGCATTGGGCCTTGCCAATGCAGGCACAATAACCCTTGACTTGACACGTGATGCTACTAGAAGGCCCTCAATTGTTCCCTACTCGAATGCCATCCTACTCACTGAGAGCTCTCATGTCTTCTTACGTCCCGCCTCTACACTGCATTTCCCCATCACACTTCTCTCCCCCCCACCTTCCCCCTCCCCTTTCCTCCTATTGCTGTCTCATTGTCTTTGAGGGTGAGGGGTCGCAAATACAAGCTGCTCAGCGAGCACTGGGACCGCTACCGCCTCTTCTTTGTCCAGCCATGCTATTCCCAGTCAACTTTTCCCACTCGTCTCCATCCCTCTTCCCCCCCCCACCCTCTCTCCCAGCATTGTGTTCGAGGCTGAGGGATCGCACATCAAACTGCTCAGTGAGCACTTGGACCGCTGCCACCTCATCCTGCTACAGTACGCGCAGTTCCTCACCGCCGCCCTCTCGCCGCCCACCGCGTATGCCGCCTTCATGCCGACCCTGCATGCGCTGTCGCAGCGCTTTCACGTGCCGCCCGAAGCCGCATTCCTCTTCTACCGCCCCGTGCTGCGCCTCTTCAAGCCCAGCGCTGACTCCCCTGTGGCTTGGCCCGCTCTCGCTGCCGCCGATGGTGCTGCTGGTGGGGGGGGTGGGGGGGGAGGTGGACGAGGAGGGGAGAAGGGGAAGAGGCAGCAGCAGCAGGTGGGGAGGAAGGGGCAAGGGGAGGGGGTTGTAATGGATGGGGTGGTGGAGGAGGGGGTGGAGGAGGAGAGGCAGCAGCAGGAGGAAGAGGAGGACTTGGTGCTCTGCCTGGGGGATGCGGCTGGCTCAGCTGGCTCAGTTGCAGCTGCTGCTTCTGCTGGCGTTGGTGGCGCTGACACTGCTGATCGGCCCGTGCACTGGCGAGATGTGGTGGAGTGGGTCCAAGGCATGCCACCCGCGGCGGCGTGGCGGGGTCTGTCGCCGCCCTTCTACCTGCTGTTCTGGGGGCTCACCCTCTCCGACCTGCACGTGCCGCGGCAGCGGTACGAGGCCGAGATGGCCAAGCAGAGGGCGCTGCTGCGGACTCTTGAGGACGTGGGGGATTCCTCTGGCTCCGCCATTCAGGTGAATCCTCAGATTGTTCAGGTGAGGCTGTATGCAGCCTTGGTGTTTCATCTACAGCCCTTGGATGACTTTTGAAATGTTGTTCCCGCTGCTGAATGCGTCCAATTCACAGAGACCGTAGGTACTCTGCTGATTGGTAACTCAAACTCACTGTCTTGAATACAGCCTCTCTTTTGAGACGCTGAGAAGCGTGCTTTCCCCTCAGTGCTCCACACGCACACTGCGTCTGACCCATTTGGGCCTTCACTCTAGCGATTGCCTCTGCTTCACGCTATTGCTCCTTCCCGGAAACACCCTCCACTTGGCCAACCCGCTCGTACGCTCCTGCCCCATCTCCTTGCCGCACCCACCGCAGAGTGCAGGAGGTGCTCGATTGCCTCATTGCCCCATTCCCCCTTCTTTCCCTTCTTGACTTCCCCCCTCCCCTTCGCCCATCCCCTTCCCCCCTCCCCTTCGCCCATCCACTCGCCCATGCCCCGCAGAAGCGCAAGAAGGAGAAGGAGCGGGTGCAGGAGGTGCTTGACAAGCTCTCATCCGAGCTGGCTCGGCAGCAGGCTCGGGCCGAGGCTGTGCAACGGCGGCTGGTTCGGGACCGCACGCGCTGGCTCAGCCCCGGAGCCGTGCCTGACAGCTGGCGCATCGTGCCGTGCTTCCTGCACCACTGCGTCATCCCCAGGGCTCTTATGAGCCCTGAAGACGCTGTCTATTGCGCTAAGTAAGTCAACCTATTCGTGAGAGAACATCTTTGTAGGAGGGGAGAGGGGCAATGGGTAACCTGGGGCAGTCCCAGACAGCTGGCACATTGTGCCGTGTTTTCTGCACCACTGCGTCATCCCACGGGCTCTTATGAGCCCTGAAGACGAGGTCTACTGCGCCAAGTGAGTGGACGTGCTACCACTGGGGAAAAAACCGGGTTGGGGTTGATAATTGCGCTAAGGCGCGGTCTATTGTGCCATGTGAGTGGACGTGCGACTATTAGGAGGGAAGTGGGGCAATGGATGATGGGGCCTGGCAGCTGGCTGCCTCATCGTGCCCTGCCCTGCCTCCTGCACCACTGTGTTTTATCAAGGGCGCTCATGAGTGCGCAGGATGTGGCATATGCCAATCTGGTTGTTGTTCTTCAGTCTTGACTGCAAAGAGGAAAAGACTGCACCTACCAATGCTGCGCATTAGGCATGGGCATGGACCGAGTCGAGCCGAGTCACAGCCGAGTCAGACCCGAGTCGAGCCAAAACCGAGTCGAGCCAAAACCGAGTCGAGTCACAACCGAGTCATACCCGAGTCGGAGGCTGAGGGTTGAGACTCGTGACTCGGTTTTTGGTGCTCGAGTCACCCTTGACTCGACCGAGACAGAGGCTGACTCGGTCGAGTCCAGTCAAAGTTCGACTCGTTTTGGAGGGGGGAGTCGGCAACCAGATGCGTTTCTGGTACACATGTTACGCCCCGTCGAAATCCAGGCAAGCTGCTGGTAAATCCCAAGGTAACTTCAGGGAACGAGAGTATTCTTGTCTTGCCCAGCCACGGCGACGTCACTAAACGCGGAACTGGTCTAACCTAACCCGTGGCAAGGGTGGATCCGTGGTGCCTAGTTTTAGTTCCTGCTGTCGGCGCATGGCTGTATTACGAGGAGGTGCAGGCTTGACCTTGGCTGATCTGCAGGAAACAATCCGCCGAATTGTTTCCAAGTCCCCAATTCCCTCCCTCACCTTTCCCCCAGCCCTCCAAACCAGCGGACAATTCGTCGACGAATTGTTTCCATGTCCCCCGCCCCCCCCCCCCTCCCTTTTCCGCCACACAACCCCCCCACCCTCCCCGCCCCCCCAACCCCAACCTGTCGACGAATGTCGGGCGAGTTTCCGCGCGAGTCGATTCCGACTCGATCGAGTCGGTCGGAATTTGATTCGACTCTACCGCGACTCGGCCGAAAAAGTTGTCGAGTCGAGCTTTGACTCGTGACTCGACCGACTCGACTCGACTCGACTCGGGTCGAGTCGGAAGAGCCAGAAATAAAACTCGACTCGCCAAAAGGCAAGCCGAATGACAAGTCGAGTCAGAGACTCGACTCGGTTGCTCATGCCTACTGCGCATGCCAATGCTGCACATGCCATGCTGCACATGCCAATGCTGCACATGCCATGCTGCGCATGCCAATGCTGCACATGCCAATGCTGCTCATGCCAATGCTGCACATGCCAATGCTGCACATGCCAATGATGCACATGCCAATGCTGCGCATGCCAATGCTGCACATGCCAATGCTGCACATGCCAATGCTGCACATGCCAATGCTGCACATGCCAATGCTGCGCATGCCAATGCTGCACATGCCAATGCTGCACATGCCAATGCTGCACATGCCATGCCAATGCTGCGCATGCCAATGCTGCACATGCCAATGCTGCGCATGCCAATGCTGCGCATGCCAATGCTGCACATGCCAATGCTGCGCATGCCAATGCTGCACATGCCAATGCTGCACATGCCAGTGAGCATGACGCAGTGTGTGGTAACAGCACGACGGCCATGATTCAACCCTTCCTTCTACCCCCTGAGGTTTTGTGTCACTAGGTTCGTCCTGAGCCTTCACGCTGCTGCGACCATTTTGTATGTCGCCCTCTTCCCGGCCTGCCTACCGCACCAGGTTCATCCTGCGACTGCACGCAGCGGCCACCCCACAGTTCTGCACGTTTCAGATCATTGACGCCTTTGTGTGCAAGAGCTTCCACCCGCTGCTCGCCAGCTCCTCCGAGGCCGAGGCTGGACGACTGGGGCGATTTGTGCTGGAGATTCTGCAGGCGATCTACCGGTGGAAGGTGAGACGAGAGATGGCAGGTGCGGGCGGGGAAAGGTGTGGCAAGGGGTGCTTCCTTCCACCTGCTGCTCGCCAGCTCTTTTGAGGCTGAGGTGGGGAGACTGGGCCGGTTCGTGCTGGAGACTGGGCCGGTTCGTGTGGAAGGGAGAGTGGCTTCGTCTTCCTCCCCTCTGCTGTGGGTTTCTTAGGCGCCCTGCTCATCCCTCCATTTCCCCCTCGCTCCCTTGCTTTCTCCTCCATCACTCTTCTTTCCATGGTTCGTTTCATGGTTCGTTTCATGGTTTGTTCCATGTTTCGTTCCATGCTTCTGTGCTGGCAATCCTGCAAGCGTTCCAGCACGGAAGCATGGAAACCTCGTTTCTTCGACCTCTCCTTGTCCCTTACCCTTCCCTCCTTCTCTCCCTTTCTCTCCTTTCCTCTCTCTTTCTCTCTTCCCTGCCCGCACTCTTCCAACTCCCCTCCTCCCTCACTCCCTCCCTCCCTCCCTTCCGTGTCACCTCCCCAGGCTGACGCAGCAGTGTACAGTGCGGAGTGCCTCAACCACCCGGGCTCGTCCAAGAGCGTGATGAAGAAGCCCAACAACAACATGACGCTCGACCAGTTCCGCACGGTGGGTGCTCTCATGCTCATGGTACCCGAATTCGCCGTCGTAGACGTGTTCACCACATTGGCTGCTGTGTCGACAAGAGTGTGATGAAGAAGCCCAACAACAACACGACTCTCGACCAGTTCCGCGCGGTACATATCACTTATAACCTGGTTGGCCTTGCTAGTCTTGTTGGTCTTGTTGACCTTGTTGACCTTGTTGACTGTGTCGACAAGAGTGTGAAGAAGAAACACAACAGCAACACATGACCCTTGATCAGTTACGCACGGTGGGTCCTCTCATACCCTGCTCTTGACCGTGTTGACCTTGGATTTTGGGTTGGGGCGCCTAAAAAGAGGTGAATCTTTGAGGCGCCTAAAAAAGCCGTGTTGACCACAGTTTAATAGGCTTTAGAGTTTCGACTTCCATTTTTGGGGGGTAAGGTTCAGGGTTTGGGGTTTAGCGACATTGCCAAACGCTCCTAGAGTCCGTCGAGTAGGTGCACGACGCACGCTCAAACCCGATCCCCCCTCTGCCGCCAGATCAACTGCAAGTGGAGTGCAAAGCTGATCAAGGTGCTCTCAACATTGCTGGAGTCCCTCGAGTGCACATGCACATCCGCAACACCCTCACGCCCCTTCCACTCTTGCCTTCCCCCCTCCCTCCCATCTCCCCACAGTCCCACTCAATGCCAGATCAACTGGAAGTGGAACGCCAAGCTGATCAAGGTGCTGTCAACAACACTGCTCGAGGCCACGGAGTACATGCACATCCGCAACGCCCTCACGCTGCTCTCTCGTTTCCACTACCCCTCCCTTCCGCCCCCACCACGGCCAGATCAACTGGAAGTGGAACGCCAAGCTGATTAAAGTCCTCTCCACGCTGCTCGAGGCCACGGAGTACATGCACATCCGCAACGCCCTCACGCTGCTCTCTCGTTTCCACTACCCCTCCCTTCCGCCCCCACCACGGCCAGATCAACTGGAAGTGGAACGCCAAGCTGATTAAAGTCCTCTCCACGCTGCTCGAGTCCACGGAGTACATGCACATCCGCAACGCCCTCACGCTGCTCTCTCGTTTCCACTACCCCTCCCTTCCGCCCCCACCACGGCCAGATCAACTGGAAGTGGAACGCCAAGCTGATTAAAGTCCTCTCCACGCTGCTCGAGGCCACGGAGTACATGCACATCCGCAACGCCCTCACGCTGCTCTCTCGTTTCCACTACCCCTCCCTTCCGCCCCCACCACGGCCAGATCAACTGGAAGTGGAACGCCAAGCTGATTAAAGTCCTCTCCACGCTGCTCGAGGCCACGGAGTACATGCACATCCGCAACGCCCTCACGCTGCTCTCTCGTTTCCACTACCCCTCCCTTCCGCCCCCACCACGGCCAGATCAACTGGAAGTGGAACGCCAAGCTGATTAAAGTCCTCTCCACGCTGCTCGAGGCCACGGAGTACATGCACATCCGCAACGCCCTCACGCTGCTCTCTCGTTTCCACTACCCCTCCCTTCCGCCCCCACCACGGCCAGATCAACTGGAAGTGGAACGCCAAGCTGATTAAAGTCCTCTCCACGCTGCTCGAGGCCACGGAGTACATGCACATCCGCAACGCCCTCACGCTGCTCTCTCGTTTCCACTACCCCTCCCTTCCGCCCCCACCACGGCCAGATCAACTGGAAGTGGAACGCCAAGCTGATTAAAGTCCTCTCCACGCTGCTCGAGTCCACGGAGTACATGCACATCCGCAACGCCCTCACGCTGCTCTCTCGTTTCCACTACCCCTCCCTTCCGCCCCCACCACGGCCAGATCAACTGGAAGTGGAACGCCAAGCTGATTAAAGTCCTCTCCACGCTGCTCGAGTCCACGGAGTACATGCACATCCGCAACGCCCTCACTCTGCTCTCCCGCGTCGCTGCGGTTTTCCCCGTCACCAAGCGCGGGGGGCTCGTCATCGAACGCAAGGTGGGTGTGCTGCTGCTGCCGCTCACCCTTTTCTATGCTGCTGCTGCTGCTGCTGGCTATGGCTGCTGTGTTCTTATCGATGTGGTTGCTGCTGTGACCGAATGCTGTGTCCCTTATGGGCGCTGCCTCCTTTATGATTGTCAATACTGTTGATAATGCGAGATGAGAGAGAATAAGTGTGCATAAGTGTGGTGTGGGAGTGCCATCTGCATAAGTCTGGGATGTTGTTTCAGCATGCCTCCATGCCATCCTGTCAATTATGCCACCATGCCATCCGTTTTTCTCATGCCATCCGTCCTTCTTATGCCATCCGTCTTTCACATGCCATCCGTCTTTCACATGCCAGCCGTCTTTCACATGCCATCCGTCTTTCACATGCCATCCGTCTTTCTCATGCCATCTGTCTTTCTTCATCCCATTGTGCCACCATTCCATCCCCCTTGCCTCATACCATTATGCCATCATGCCAATGTATTCTTCTACCATCACACCATCACACCCCACAACATCACATCACACTGGCGTGCCATCCCACCATCACCCGTATCAGGTGAATCGCCTCAAGACGGAGGAGCGTCAGGATCTGAAGCTCATGGCCACCAGTGTGTCGGCTGCGCTCAATGCCAAGAAGGTAGGCCTGCTAGGGGGGTTAGGGTTTCAGTAAGGGATTGGAAATCAGGGCTTTAATGAGGGGATTCGCTGATGATGTCCCGTCAGGATCTGAAACTCATGGCCACCAGTGTGCCTGCTGCGCTCAATGCCAAGAAGGTGGGGCTTTAAGTCTGAAGAAGGTTGGAACATTTAGAGAGGGGTTAGGGGTTTATTGAGGGGGACGACGGATTTCCTATCAGGAGCTGAAGCGCACGGCCACCAGTGCCCACTGGTCACTGGCCAGGTGCCTGCTGCGCTGCGCTCAATGCCAAGGAGGTAGGGCTTTAAAATGGGGAGGTTGGGCTTTATGGGGAATGGATAAGGAGGGCGTTTAACAAGGGAAAGTTGGGCATAGCTCTCTCCAGCTTATGGCCTCGAGTGTCTCTGCTGCACCTGATGCCTAGAAGGTAGAGTGTCTCTGCTTTATTGCTCGACCATGCCTCCAATCCTTTCCACAGGGGGCTCATGTGAGCGGGACTGGATCAAGCTTCTGAAAATGGGTAAAGCTTCTGTTATCCCCCCTGCTTTCTCCCCTCCGAACCTCCACCGGCGTCCCTCCCTCTATCTCGCAGCAATCGTGGGTGACTGATGAGGAGTTCGGAGGAGCGCCTGCTCCCTCTGCCACTCCTCGCGCCGCCTCCCCTGCTCCTCTTGCTGTCTCTCCTGCTGCCGCCACCGCCACTACCACCGCTGCTGTCGCTCCGGCTGCTACTGTCACACCCTCAGCTGCTGCTGCTGGGCGCACTGCTGAGGTTGGTGCTGCTTCCGCTGCTCCTGCTGCTGCTGCTCCTGCTGCTGTTGCCGGTGGTGGTGGTGTTGGTGCTGGTGGGATTGGAAAGGCTGCTGTTTCTGCCGCTGCTGGTAGTGCCGGTGCTGCTGGCGTCCCTGCTGCTGCTGCTCCCTCTGCCCCTTCTAGTCGCCACCCCACCCCTCCGCCCTCTCGCCGGTCCTCCATGCCCCCCCCTTCCCCCGAGCGCCTCGCCTCCAAGTCCCCCCTCATCCACGGGGGAATGGGGGGAGGGGAAGGAATGCGTGGGGAGAGGCGGGAGGGTTTAGGGGGAGGTAAGCGCGAAGCAGGAGAGGAGAGGGAAGGGGAGAAGGAGCGGGAGAGGGATGTGAAGGTTAAAGGAGAGGAGGGTGGGTTTAGAGGGCCAGTTGCATCTGCTCCTGCTGCTGCTGCTGCTGGTGCCGGTGCTGCTTCCCGTGCTGCTGTCGCTGAAGTTGCTATAAAGGAGGAGCCTTTAACGAGGACAGTGGGACTGACGCACGAGAGGAGGGAGGAGCAGTGGGAGGAGGGGGAGCAGCCACCTCCCGCAAAGCATAGAAAGGTGGATGGAGGAGTAGAGGGAGAGAGAGGGGGGCGAGGAGGAGCAGGAGTGAGCGAAAGAGGAGGGGGGGTTGGAGGAGGTGGGGGGAAGGCAGGGAGCAAGCTTTCCCCAGATGCTGCTCCCTTCGTTCCCGCAGCACATAGAGGGGGAATGGGAGGGGCAGAGGGAGAGAGGGTGAGGGAAAGGGAGATAGAGATGAAGGGGGGAAGAAGGGATGAGGAAGTGAGGGAGGGGAGGGAGAAGGAGAGGGAAAGGAGGGGGTCTGGAGGGAGTGGTAGGCACGAGGAAAGGGCAGGGAGGGGGAGAGGAGAGGAGGAGGAGAGAGGATCCGATGAAGGCAAAGGGAAGGGTGGGAAATTGGGATTCGGGGGTGAGGGGGCAGGTGGCAGGGAGAGCTTGGGTGTTGGTGGGTCTGGTAAGTGGGGCTTTGAGGAGAGAGAGGAGCATGAGGCTGGGGAGGTGAGGGGGGAGGGAAGGGGAGGGCATAAGGGGAGGGAGAGTGATGGGGCGGAGAAAGGAGGGGGGAGAGATGTGGTTGAGAGGGGGAAGAGAGGGGAGCGGGAGGATGGGGAGAGGTATGTGAGCGGGGGGAGGGATGAGAGGAGTGAGAAGACAGAGAAGGTGGAGGTGAAGGGTAGGGAGAGGGAGAGGGAGAGGGAGAGAGAGGAAAGGGATGATGATCAGTTAAGAGGGTCTGGTTTTGAAAAAGAAAGGGATGTGGAGGCAGGGAGGGGAAGAGAGAGAGAAGGGAGAGAGAGGGACAGGGTGAAGGAGAGGGAGAGGGATGATAAGGGACGGGACCGGGGACGAGGGGAGAGGGAAAAGGATCGTGAGGCGGAGAGGGAGGAGAAAGAGGGGCGGGAGAGGGACAAGGGACGCGAGAGGAACCATGAGGAGGAGCGGGAAAGAGAGAAGGTAAAGCTGAGGGAGCGGGCAGTAGAGGAGAAGGAAGAGAAGGAGAAGGAGGAGAGGATGCGAGAAGAGAGAGAGAGGCTGAGGGCTCGACTAGAGGAAGACAAGCTGGAGAGAGAGAGGGAGAGGGAGAAGGAGAGGGAGAGGGAGAGGGAGAGGGAGATGGGGAAGGAGAAGGGGAGGGAGAGAAGCAAGGCGGCTGCAGTGGCGGCTGTTGCTGCGGCTGCTGCCGCCACTGCTGGTCGGATTGCTGGTGGTGGGGTAGGCGGAGGAGAGGGGAGTGGAGAGAGAGGGCCAAGCGGTGTAAGTCCTGCAAGAGCAGCGGGAGGAGCAGGAGGGGGAGGGGGAGGGGTTGGTGCATCAGGTGTGAAAAGTCCCAAGGATGTGGAGGCGGTGGAGGAGGGAGGGAGGGGCAGAGGAGGGAAGAGAAGCGTGAGCTCATCTGAAGATGGGGGAGGAGGGGCGGTGGTTGGTGGTGGGGAGCGGGGGGTGAAGCGAGCACGGAAGAGTGATGGCGATGCAGAGAGGGAGAGAGGCAGGGAGGAGAGGGGGAGGGAGAAGGAGAGGGAGAGGGAGAGAGACAGGGAGGAGAGGGGAAGGGAGAAGGAGCGGGAGAGGGAGAGGGAGAGGGGAGAGGAGACGCCAAGGTCTTATGAGCGGGAGGGCAGAGGGGAAGGGAGAGGAGGGGAGCGTAGCAGTGGAGGTAGGGGAGGGGACAAGGGGGAGTGGAGTGAGAGGGGGAGTGTGGAGAGGGGAAGGGGGAGAGACATGGAGGATACCGGGTTTGGGGTGGAGGGGCGTGGGGACGTGCACGAGTGGGGGGAGAGGGGTGGTGGCACTGGTGTGCGGGAGAAAGGAGGGTCCGATCGCAAAGGGGACAGGGAGAGGGAGAAGGAGAGAGAAAGGGAGAAGGGAAGGGAGAGGGAGCGAGGGCAGGTTGACAGCACCCCGGAGAGAGAAGTGAAGGAGGAGAGGGTTGGAGGGCGTGAGAGGGAGGCAGAGCACCTGAAGGAGAGGGAGAGAGAGAGGGAGCGGGAGCATGAGCGTTCGACAGTGAAAGACAGGCTGGGTGAGAGAGGCAGAGGTGGGAGGGAGAGAGGGGAGAGAGGAGAGAGAGTGGGCGGCAAAGAGGAGCTTGGAACGGAGCAGGACCGCGCATATGAGAAGGACAGGGGTGAGAAGGAGCGTGGGGAGAGGGAGCGCAGTGAGAAGGAACGTGGTATTCTTCCGGAGCGAAGCATTGAGAGGGGAGGGGGGTTCCGCGTGGTGGTGCGGGATGTGGGGGAGGAGGGGAGGGAGGAGGGGCATGCGCTGAGGCAAGGAGCGGGGCAGGGGCTTCGCCACTCACTTGTTGTTGGTGTGACTGTACCTGCTCCTGCAGGAGGCCTTATTCACGAGGTAAGCTTGTCAAATCAAGGCGATTCTATTTGTGTCTCACAGTTTACCAATTCATCCCTGTTTGTCATTGCGAGCTTCTTTCCTTGTCGAACCCTTTCGTGATTCATATCCTTGCTCTTATGCTGTCCTGTCCCACCTCAATCTCCTCCAGCCACGTGATCGAGACCGCGATTGGGAGAGAGAGCACGACTGGGACCGGGACGAGCGTGACCGGGACAGGGACAGGGATCGGGACCGGGAGAGAGAGCGGGACCACCTGCATGACCGGGAGAGTTATCGCGAGCGGGATCGCTCGCCAAGGGAGAGCAAGTTCTCCTCTGCGCCGCCTCCAAGGGAGCTCCAGGGCATGTCTGCCATGCCACCACAGCCTCCTGCGCTTGCTTCGCAGCTTGTTCCACCTGGCTCCGCGGCTGCTCTCCCTGCAAAACGCAGGAAGATCAAGCGGGATCAAAGCCTCATGCAGCCGCATGGCGATGCCATGCATGCACCAGGCAGGGCTGGATCCCCTGTGGCTGCCATTGCAGCAGGCGGGCCCTCAGCCATGCCAATGCCACTTGCTCCTCCCTTCCACTCTGGAGGCGTTCATCCGTCCTCTCGGGCGCCCCCTGTGGTTATGGCGTCTGGGAGTGGCCACCGGGGTGGACCTTTGCTTCATGTGACTTCAACGCTTGATGACCGTGGGGACAGGCGGTGGCTTGCTGACGCTGGTGGCAGTGGCGGTGGTGGTGGCAGCAGGAGAATTGCCGAGGTTGAGTTGCCGCCTTCACGTGGCGCAGGGCCTGCTAGGAGCTCCAGGCTTGCTGGCAGGCTAGGGGAACAGGATGGTGGAGTCGGAGGGAGCTACGATCGTAGTGGTCCAGGTCAAGGAGGTGGGGTGCGGGACGAGGCGTGGGATGATGACAAGGCACGAAGAGATGGGCGGATGAGTAATAGACGCCATCGCTGAGCGAGATCTTCAGCCGTTGAACAGTGGACCAATGTTGGAGTTGGGACTGGCGTGCTTATAATTGAGTCATCGCATGATCATGGTACTATAATGTGGATGTGTCTGAACTGCATCCATGCTTGTGAATGCTGTTACAAGTGGATACGGTACTAGAGCACTACTGGAAAGTATCACTGTTAGATTCGCTAAATCTGTAAGGCCATTTGAACCAGATAATGCTGGGCTGCTTTACAAGGAGGAACGCTAAAGTTCAAAATATTCTCATCCAGCCTCATCTTGGTCTGCGAAGCTTGGTATGCAACGGTGGCTCCTTGTAATTCAAGAGTGTACGAGCACGGAGTGCACGTTTTGGGAGCTCTGAAGCTTCCTTTACCTCATTGACTGTTTCATGAGCAGAAAATGGTGAGCCATTTGTATCTCCCACCAAGGGGTTGCCTGCGTGGCTTACTAAACGCCTCCTTGCAGGGTTGTCTGTGTGGACCTTTGTGGGCCGAATATAATAGTTGTTTGAGTTGCAGCTCTCTGCATCAGATGCCGAGTCTTCAAATTCCACTTGACCCACAGGCTGCATCTTAGCTGGCTTGGGTTTGTAGGTGCGTGGCCGTGCACAGAGTACAGTGGGCTGGTGCTCGCCGTTTTTCTTCCCGGTCCCTGGCAACCTGTCACGCAGATTGTAACCAGGGAATACCGAAAATGGAAACGTCAAGCAACCAACCTGGAAGGAAGTCGTTGGTTCTTTCGTGTTCTTGCTTTAGTCGGTTCTCCATATCCTGTCATTGGAAGATCTTGCTGACATTCGTCCTCACTCTTCTGAAAGTGTAAACAGGCGAGGTGAGTAATTGTTCTTGACTGCAGCAACCAGCCAAACAACTTCCATCCTCATCATCACACCTTATGTGGTGCCTTCTTGGTTGCAAGAAGATTCAGCTCCTGCATGTTCATTTCCACAATGTTAAGGTCAAGAAGGTGTAGCTCCAAGTATGGCGGAACTTGATTGTACCTCAAGATTGCACAGCTTTTTTTGCAGCCTTGCATTCTCTTCCTTTGCCTTGCCAAGGAGCCTCTCCGCCTCCTGTGGTCGAAGATCAGGAACCATTCAAAACATAATGCAATCTCCGAATTTATCAGAGACTCACCTCCTTTTCACTTCTCAGGACTTTAATCAGCACCCTTTGCTGAATACTTTCACTGCGGAGCAACTCAATCTACAGAACGAACATGGTCAGGAACCAATCGTCTTGGGTTCAACCTTGAAGTCAACCATTCTTACCTGAGCTTGCTGGTGCATCATCTCCTGAGGACATATATACACATCAAACGAGTTAAATCACTGGCTCGGATTACTATAACGTGTTATTAACAACGGGCATTTGGTACCTTCTGCAAAGAAGCATTTCTCTGTATAATGTCATTGTTCAGCAGGGAATGTCGTTGCAACATTGCCTTCAGTGCCTCCTGCGAAGTGCGTATCTGCTTACTGAAACATTCGGTCAGCAACTTCCGTTCCATTCAGGCAACTGTCACAGGGAATTAGTGGACCGAATCACTTACTCTCTTTCAGCTACTACTTTTTTCCACATGTCGTTAACCTGGAAAGGTGGGAGTAGAGTTAGGCCGTCATTTCGAAACAACGTATCATTCTTGGTAACTCCATTTTTTCACCTTGTCGATTTCCACCAGGTTGTTGGCCAGGTTGTTGCTCAATGGACCTGTCGTTCCAGCATAGCCTCTGAGGTTGGTCAAACCTCGAAGAGGACCGTTTTGTCTCATAGTAGGCGTCAGCGGCATGGCTTCTACTGGGAGCTCACGGGAGGACTTGCAACAGCATTCGCACTTCGGGACCCACGATGTGAAGGACAACTTCTGTAAGGACGTATGAAAGCTCAGAATGATTAGGAACTCGAACAAGAAGCAGCAGACTCGGATGTCAAATTTCATTTTGGTCGAATTGAGATTCGCTAAGAACAGGGGTTGGGTGTTGTTACAGCGCGTTTAGACGAGAATAATAACGATATCAAACAAAACACTGTGTGTAAACAGTTGTCCACTTCTCCACTTCTGCTACTTTCTACGCGGTTCTATGCATGAAACGATGTTCCCCACAACGGTTCCGGCGCAGTTACAAGACGACACCTGTCCGATTGCAGGTCCAAAGACCTGGAATTCTGGTTTCGGAAATGTCTTTGGCGCGCAGCGAGTAGTCAAATTTCGGTCCAATGCCGCTTTGGCCTTTTCTCATTTCTCGTCTCCGTGACGTGAGGTTTGTGCTCCGTGACTGACACTGCCCGGAGCTATTGTACTTCTAGAACCGTTGCGCGACAAGCAAATTTTGGTACAGCGGATATGCCATTAGGTCCACGACATTTTACTCCATGTAATACTCCAAGGTCCGGAGTTTGATAAGATCCACCACGATGTACTCCGTCTGTACAGTATACATCTACTGTTGACTTCGCTAAAAAAGCGCAATAAAACATTGTGACCAATTACGACAGTCGCATAATGCCACCGACCATCGAGTCGTGCCACCCGAATTGGGTGCAATCGCAGCATGTGAGTGTCGCCAACCAATCCGCGAGTGCGAGCTCGGAAATTCCTCATGAATTGTGCTTGGAATTGCCCGACCAATACGCGCTTGCCAGGGCGATCAGACGTAATCACGACGGACCGGGGGGCGATAGCCAGCTGGCATGGGCATAAATCTGTACCCCTTTTCCATCCATTCTGTATTATTATTTCGGTCCTATTCTAATCCTCGTGTCAAGAACATTCGAGGCGTTTTCCATATTTTATAACCAATAACGTAACTATTCAGGCTTTCAACGTGACACAAACAGGTCCGTCCCGAATACGAAAACACGACCCACGGTCCCTCAATCACCATTAACCAATGCACATTTCGAAATTGTTTTTCTTAAATAGTTTTTTCACCTTCGTGAAAGTGTGTGATTGGTTAACGAAACCGCTCAGGCGAGTCGTCATAATTTCGTTACGTTAAGCCCTTTCGTGAGACCACGAAAAGGGTTTTTCAAATTATATGATTTGCGCGTTTTGAGCCTGCGCTGCTTGCGGAAGGTCGAGAACGAGGTGTTACTTCTATTGTCCACGGTAATTCTGACCAGACGACAAATTCGCTGAACGTTTGCCACATGAGCCCTCACATGACACGCGGCGAAATCGCTGGTAACCTGGCCCAAGGGCCAATAAGCCAAGGCACTCATCGTGAACAGAAAGAGTAAAACGGCCTACGCCACCCCACCTAAAACCGTACGTGCTACTCGATAATCCATTTTGCCCGTAGTGAACCGCTTCTATTCGTCGTAGTCCATATTTGCGAGTCGCGGATTTGGAGCATAGAGCATACCCTCTGTACTTCGATGCAGTTCTCCAGGGTGTCACCTGGAGCACTTGTTACCAGTTTCGTTTCGGGATTCTTTCCCCCCCACAACCCAAACCCCTCCCCCCAAAGGCTTCCACCACCAGACCCCACTCCTTTCTGCACAGTACCGTGTACGTGATTAGGCCGTGCTGCTTCCACCACCACTTGAACGCAGATCCACGGCACGTGAACGCAGGTCCATGGCTGCTTCCACCACCACTGGTCGCGCCTGTACCTACTCCTTCGACGCCACTCCATAGATCCGTGTTCCGCGTCCATCTTTTCCAGCACCACTTTCCCAATCATGCTTGATTTCCCATAAGTATTCTAGAGACAACGCTAATCGTTCATAAGCTACTATCAGCTTTCCCGCAATAGCCCTCGTTTCTTCCCGTCGCACTCGTTTCAAGGTTCTCATTTCAGTTCGTGCTGCTTCGCCTTAGGAGATGCAGTCGCCTGCACATATTAACGACCTTCCCGACGACGTCCTCGCTAGGATGCTATGGCACGGTAAGAAGCCCACATCTACGTTTCGGAATTCCGACAGTGACGCGTTTTGGGATCGCCATGAACTATGGCCGAGGCCACAGTACATTCGCGCGAACCTTATAGACGAGGATTCTAGTCCTGAAGAAAACACGGCGACTCCGATTCCTTCTCCCTCCGCCGTTCCAGGTGCTGTCCAGATTCTCCGCACTTCGTTCGTATGCCGTCGTTGGCGCGATCTAGCGAAGTGTCATGTCTCCACTCTCCTCGTCGAAAAGAACCATGTTATCTCCCTCCAAGACCTCTCGAACGCCGTCGCAAGCTTCCCGAACTTGACCCACCTTCATCTGTGCGACGGCAGCGTGGTAACCCTAGACGACGCGTTCCTCGCTCACCTCGCGTCTTCATGCCCTAAGCTGACGATTCTCCACGTGGGAAGCGGCATTACACAGCATTCGGACTATTTTGGATGGAAGCATGAGCATCCTATCACCGAAGCTGGCCTGGATCGGTTCTTCCAACAGTGCACCCAGCTGGAGCAGCTTTCACTCTTCTGCCTCCATCTACACACTGAGCTTCCACCTTCCTTCTTCCAGCTAAGGCGTCTACACACCCTTGCTCTTACAGCCGCTTCGGCCTTAGAGGCTCCAGATCTGGAGAACCTCGGCTCTCTCACCACTCTCCATATCGCCTCCAGGGAGTTGAGCGATCAGCAACTCTCAAACGTTCGTCGTCTCCCACGCATTACCAACCTTTCAATCTCAAACAGAACCTGGTTCTATCCTGGTGACCCGGGCTCTGCTGCCTTCACCATCGCACAGCTACCTTTTCTAAGGTCATTGGAGACCAGCCACGTGGTTCCCTCGTATTGGCCATGCGCTAGTCTTGAACGGCTGCAGATCTCTCATTGCATAGAATTGGAGCGGCTTCCTGACAACATTGCTGAACTGCTGCCATGCCTCCGTGAGCTGACCATCTGCGGGTGCGAGAATTTTGAGCAGCTGGCCGAGGGTTTCAGCTCCCTAAGCCACTTGGAGAGCTTGGCGATCTTCAAATGTGGCAAATTTCGGTCCCTGCCTGAGAGCTTTGGGAGGTTGTCTGCCTTGAAATCACTGGTGCTGGAACAACTGCCTCTCTCGGCCCTCCCTGACTCCATCTGCCAGCTCAGCTCCCTGGAGACACTGTTCCTGCTTTGGTGCGAACCGATCAGCCAGTTGCCAGCGGGTTTCTGCTGCCTCACAGCTCTCAGGACCCTGTGCCTCGGGGTAGTGACGCTTCCAGAGGACATTGGACGCCTGACCAACCTCCAAACCCTTCTGGTTAGAGACAACTTCGAACAGCGGCAACTTCCTTCCTCGTTGACCAAGCTTTCTTCATTGACAAGGCTTGAAGTGCAGTTGTGCGGCGTTGAAGAGCTGCCAGAGGGATTAGGAGAGCTGAGTAACCTGCGAGAACTGCACGTCTCGTTGTGCTCTGATCTCACGGCGATTCCAGCGTCCTTGACATGGCTGACTGGTCTTGAAATTCTGACTCTTACTGACTGCAGAGAGCTCTCTTCGATACCAAGGAGGCTCGACAGCCTAACAAGGCTCAGACGACTTGAGGTGACCTCGTGTGATGAGCTGAGAGGGCCGCCTGAGGTGCTGCCGCCTTCTCTTGAGATGCTGAGCCTGGGAGGCTATGAGCAGATTACAGCTCTGCCGGACGTCTCGGGGCTGACAAAGCTTCGGCAGCTTTGCTTGAAGAGGGTTGCTGTAGAGTGTGGTCTCACAGTCAGCAGAAGTCTATCTCACCTGAATCATTTGAAGCTGAGTCTGGCGGACAATGCTAGGGAGCTTCCATTCGCCCTGACGTTTCTTTCTCAGCTACGCACCCTGATAGTTCACGGCATGGGGAATGTCAAAAGGCTGCCAGCAGATATCGGATCAGCATTGCAGCACCTGCGGAAGCTGAATCTAAAGTGTGCCGACGAATTGAGGGAGCTGCCGGCAAGTGTCACTCAGCTTCGGAACCTGACATCCTTGGAGGTTGATGCTGCGCCAAAGCTAGCCTCTCTTCCCTGTGGCATCGGTGCCTTGTCCCGGCTGCGGAAGCTGCAGCTAAACCTCTGCCAGGAGCTTCAGCATCTGCCTGCGTCTCTCATCCAGCTTACCCACATAAATGAGCTCTCTATTTTTAATGCCTCCATCCGCTCCCTTCCCCCCGGCTTTGCGCAGCTTGCCAGACTCAAGACTCTCTCACTGTCAGGCTGTGCAAACCTGCAGGCGTTGCCAGAGGGTCTGAGTGAGCTGAAGGCGCTGCAGAGGCTGGACGTGCAGGAGTGTGAGCATGTGGTCGACAGTGATGGCTTAGTGCTGCCCCATAGCGTCAACAAGATGTACGGGCTGAAAATATACAGCTAGGTGCCTGCAGACACTGGCCGAGGACCTGTGTGAGATGAAGGTGCTGCAGGAGAGGCTGGAGGTGCAGGCGTGAGAGCATCTGATAGACAGGGATGATTCAGTGCTGTCTCGTAGCATCAACAATATGTTCGGGCTGAAAATATTCAGTCAGGCACCAGCAGGCGTTGGCAAGGGCTTTGTTTTGAGTAAGATGAAGGGACGCAGCAGAGGCTGGACGTGCAGGAGTGTGGGCATGTGTTACCCCAGAGCATCAGCGGGATGTGCAGGCAGCACTGATGGCTCAGTGCTACCCCAAAGCATCAGCAATATGTGTGGGTTGAAAGCATACAGGTAAGTGTTAGAGAGAATGAATGGACTAGTGTGAGATATCAGAAAGAATAATTGAACTACAATGTGTGAGTACAAGGGTATATAGACTAGGGTGTTGTACAAGGCACAATCCAGTATAGTCTACAGTAATGACCTAAGTTACATTTGACACACCCCCTAGACTATATAGGGGCAGTGCTTCACAGGGAAAGAAGCAGCTCAGGGCGGCACTACTAGTCCAGCCTCTGAGGCAAGGGCCTAAAGACCAGTCAAAGGAGTACAGACAAGACAAGAGCAAGACCAGGGCAGCACTACTAGTCCAGCCACTGGGAGAGGCCACAAGGCCAGTCAGGGTAAAAAATATATATAAAGGACAGTACAAGGTCAAGGCCCTAGCAAGTGAGAGGCTACAGGAACGAGACCTAGCTGTACACAGTGCCGCTGATGATCTTTAGGCACAAGCGCCTTCGTAAAGATATCAGCTGTGTTGGCACCGGAGGCCAAGTGTACTACGCGCGCCTGGCGGCGCTGCTGGAGCTCACGCAGGAGGAAGTACCGCAGTTGGATGTCCTTCGCTCTGCCCTCGAATCGAGGCTCCTGACACAGGAGGATCATGGCCCAGTTGTCAGCGTACAGGACCGGGGCAGAGCTAGGCCGCTCACCTAGGTCAGTGAGCAAGAAGGTCAGCCAGCGGAGCTCCTGTGCCGCCATGACACCGGCATAGATCTCAGCCTCACAGCTGGACTGAGCAACAGACGACGAGCGAGTGGATATCCAAGAGATAGCACCCGAACCAAGGCTACAGTAGCCCTGTGACGACCTGAGTGTCTCAGAGTCGTCTGCCCAAAAAGCGTCTGTGTGCCCAGTGAGTGTCACAGGATCGAATGTGTCGAGGAAAGGTTGCACTATCGATCAGTACAAGGCGCTTTTATACTTCCAGAGTACATCAGGTAACCAGGTTTATCTTATCCTAAGGGAATAGACCCTTCTAGAAGATAGAATCACCCTGCGTATAGCCACGCGAGGCTATTGGCTTTAAGGGATTACGGCAGGATTACGCTGGATAACGTCTCTAGTACATTCCATGCCTGGTCGGTGCTATAATTATAATAAAGGAAGAGACCAAAGGATAATGGAAAATGGAGAATAGGAAACCAAATGAGATGCGGTAAAACGAGAAATGAAAAGGGAAGGAAATAAGAAAAGGCCAAGTGGTGTAACGGGGTCGTACTCTCACACTTCCCCCCCTCAAAGCTGGGTGGTAGAAGTAACACCCTGCTTGACAAGGTAGTCATGCAGAGGACGACGGGCGTTACCCATGTCGGACTCAGGTACCCAGCTGTCCTCAGAAGGATCATAACCCTTCCAACGGATGAGAAGCTCCACGGTGCCATTCCGACGACGGCGGTGTGCGAGCACGGACTCGACCTCGTACTCGGGTTCATTCTGGACGAGGACGGGCGGTGGCGGCGGCGGTTGGCGTCCGACGAAAATTGTGTTCGGGTCCCGATAGGGCTTCAGAAGTTGGACGTGGAAGGCGTTGTGAATCTTCCAGGCAGCTGGCAGGCGTAAGCGGAAGGTAACAGGAGTGACCTGTGCTTCAACGAGAAAAGGCCCGCAGAAGCGAGGTCGAAGTTTAGATGGGAGATGGCTGATGTCCAGGTTGCGGGTGTCAAGGAGAACCTGGTCTCCCACGGAAATGGTGTGGTCGTTGCGATGGCGATCGGCTTGGCGCTTCTGTTGCTGTTGAATGTCGAGTAGGCGCTTGTGGGTCCGATCCCAAAGCTGGTGCATGGTTGTAATGAAATCATGTGCGGGTTGGACTGTAGCTGATGCTGTCGGTTTTTGTGGTGTGAGTGGGTGGCGCCCGTAGCAGAGGAAGAACGGCGTCTGTCCAGTAGCGGCATGTGTAGCATTGTTGTAAGCAAACTCGAGTACGGGCAGGTGCAAGTCCCATTTGGAGATGTCGTCCTTGCAGGCTGCTCGGAGGAGTTGCTCAACAATTTGGTTGAGGCGCTCGGTCTGTCCGTCTGTCTGCGGATGGTATGCGGATGACATGGCGAGTTTGGTGCCGAGCAGAGACATAAGTTCCTTCCAGAACTTGCTGGTGAACTTGGGGTCTCGGTCGGAGATGAGTGTAGTTGGGATGCCATGCTGTGAGATGATGTGACGAACGAAGAGCTGTGCTGTCTCCTCGGTGCGTGCCGTCGTGTGTGTCGGGATGAAGTGTCCCATTTTGGAGAACTTGTCAATGACGACAAGGATGGCGTCATGACCGCTGGAGGTAGGTGGTAACCCGGTGATGAAATCTAGGCTAACCACTTGCCATGGTTGTTCTGGGACAGGAAGAGGCTGCAGTAGTCCCGCCTTTTTCTGCTTGCTGCTCTTCATCCGCTGACATGTATCACACGAGGTGACGAATTTCTGGACGTCGTCTGCCATATGGGGCCAGTAGTAGTGTTTGGCGATACCGGTGAGCGTCTTGTTGCTACCGAAGTGTCCGGCGTACAGGACGTCGTGGTATTCTTCGAGTAGTAACTGGCGCAAAGGAGGGTAATTGGGTACCCAGATTTTTGTTGATCCTTTCCGGTACGCGATGTCACTATCCCACTGTAGCAGATGTCGCTTTTCTGCCAAGGAAATTTCGGGGTCGATGGCGTACCCGTGGGTGAAGAGTCCCTTGAGTAGTGGATTCATCCCTTCGACCTGAATTGCGGCAACGTGTGCAGGCCGGCTGAGAGCGTCTGCTTTGTTCTTGTGGCCGGGCTTGTACACGATGTCGTAGTGGAAGTGTGTCTCGAGGAAGTCGATCCACCGGACCTGCCGCCTGGAAAGGTTGGGTTGTGTCTTCAAATATTTCAGGCTGCAGTGGTCGGTGTAGACGGTCGTTCTTCGTCCTTCGAGATAGCATCTCCACGCTTTGAAGGCGATGATGATAGCAAGAGCCTCTTTGTCGTGTATCGGGTAGTTGAGTTCTGCCCCGTGCAGTTTCTTGCTGAGGTAGGCAATTGGTTGCAGTCCATTCCCCTGGTCTTGCATCAAGACTGCACCCACGGCCTGATCACTGGCGTCTGCTTCGATGACGTAGTCACGTTCGGGATTTGGCAAGATGAGCACCGGTGCGGATGTCAGTGCTTGTTTCAGCTGCTCCACGGCTTCCTGGTGCTTCGTCTCCCATTTGTAGGGCGTGTTCTTCTTCAGCAGATTCGTGAGTGGTGCTGCGATTTTCGCATACTGTGGCACGAACCTGTTGTAGTAATTAGCGAAGCCTAGGAACTTCTGCAACTCCTTCACGTTCTCGGGTGTCTTCCACGTACGTACGGCTTCGATTTTCTTGGGGTCGACGTGAACTCCTTGAGTGCTCACCATGTGTCCTAGGAATTGGACCTTTTCAAGGGCGAATTCGCTCTTGGACAGTTTGACGTAGAATTGTTCCCGTCGAAGAATTTCGAAGACGCGTCGCAGGTGTTCGACGTGCTGCTTCATGTCGCGCGAGTAGATGAGGATGTCGTCCAGGTACACCACCACGCATTCGTCCAGAAGTGGTCGTAAAATGTGGTTCATTTCGGCTTGGAACGTTGCCGGCGCGTTGGTGAGTCCGAACGGCATGACCAAATACTCGTACGATCCGTACCGAGTTCGGAAAGCAGTTTTGTGGATAGAGTTGTCCGCCATCCGTATCTGCCAGTATCCGGACCGCAGATCCAGTTTGGAAAATACCGTAGCTCCCCGAAGCTGGTCAAGCAGGTCATCGATTCGCGGTATCGGATATTTATTCTTGATGGTCTGCTTGTTAAGGGCTCGGTAGTCGATGCACATGCGCAGGCTTCCGTCCGGTTTCGGTGTGAAGAGTACTGGGGCACCGTACGGCAAAGTGGAGGGCCGGATGAGTCCTTTGGCTAGGAGATACTCGATCTGTTTTTTCATGTCAGTCAGCTCCGTAGGGCTGA